GAAATAAAATAAAACAGAAGGTTAGCCTAGAGTCATCCTCAAATATAATTCTTAAACCCTGGAATAAAATAAAACAGAAGGTTAGCCTAGAGTCATCCTCAAATATAATTCTTAAACCCTGGAATAAAATAAAACAGAAGGTTAGCCTAGAGTCATCCTCAAATATAATTCTTAAACCCTGAAATAAAATAAAACAGAAGGTTAGCCTAGAGTCATCCTCAAATATAATTCTTAAACCCTGGAATAAAATAAAACAGAAGGTTAGCCTAGAGTCATCCTCAAATATAATTCTTAAACCCTGGAATAAAATAAAACAGAAGGTTAGCCTAGAGTCATCCTCAAATATAATTCTTAAACCCTGGAATAAAATAAAACAGAAGGTTAGCCTAGAGTCATCCTCAAATATAATTCTTATACCCTGAAATAAAATAAAACAGAAGGTTAGCCTAGAGTCATCCTCAAATATAATTCTTAAACCCTGGAATAAAATAAAACAGAAGGTTAGCCTAGAGTCATCCTCAAATATAATTCTTAAACCCTGGAATAAAATAAAACAGAAGGTTAGCCTAGAGTCATCCTCAAATATAATTCTTAAACCCTGGAATAAAATAAAACAGAAGGTTAGCCTAGAGTCATCCTCAAATATAATTCTTATACCCTGGAATAAAATAAAACAGAAGGTTAGCCTAGAGTCATCCTCAAATATAATTCTTAAACCCTGAAATAAAATAAAACAGAAGGTTAGCCTAGAGTCATCCTCAAATATAATTCTTAAACCCTGAAATAAAATAAAACAGAAGGTTAGCCTAGAGTCATCCTCAAATATAATTCTTATACCCTGAAATAAAATAAAACAGAAGGTTAGCCTAGAGTTATCCTCAAATATAATTCTTAAACCCTGGAATAAAATAAAACAGAAGGTTAGCCTAGAGTCATCCTCAAATATAATTCTTATACCCTGAAATAAAATAAAACAGAAGGTTAGCCTAGAGTCATCCTCAAATATAATTCTTAAACCCTGGAATAAAATAAAACAGAAGGTTAGCCTTGAGTCATCCTCAAATATAATTCTTATACCCTGAAATAAAATAAAACAGAAGGTTAGCCTAGAGTCATCCTCAAATATAATTCTTAAACCCTGAAATAAAATAAAACAGAAGGTTAGTCTAGAGTCAATCTAAATATAATTCTTAAACCCTGAAATAAAATAAAACAGAAGGTTAGCCTAGAGTCATCCTCAAATATAATTCTTATACCCTGAAATAAAATAAAACAGAAGGTTAGTCTAGAGTCAATCTAAATATAATTCTTAAACCCTGGAATAAAATAAAACAGAAGGTTAGCCTAGCGTCAATCTAAATATAATTCTTAAACCCTGAAATAAAATAAAACAGAAGGTTAGTCTAGAGTCATCCTCAAATATAATTCTTAAACCCTGGAATAAAATAAAACAGAAGGTTAGCCTAGAGTCATCCTCAAATATAATTCTTAAACCCTGGAATAAAATAAAACAGAAGGTTAACCTAGAGTCATCCTCAAATATAATTCTTATACCCTGGAATAAAATAAAACAGAAGGTTAGCCTAGAGTCATCCTCAAATATAATTCTTATACCCTGGAATAAAATAAAACAGAAGGTTAGCCTAGAGTCATCCTCAAATATAATTCTTAAACCCTGGAATAAAATAAAACAGAAGGTTAGCCTAGAGTCATCCTCAAATATAATTCTTATACCCTGGAATAAAATAAAACAGAAGGTTAGTCTAGAGTCAATCTAAATATAATTCTTATACCCTGGAATAAAATAAAACAGAAGGTTAGTCTAGAGTTATCCTCAAATATAATTCTTAAACCCTGGAATAAAATAAAACAGAAGGTTAGCCTAGAGTCATCCTCAAATATAATTCTTATACCCTGGAATAAAATAAAACAGAAGGTTAGCCTAGAGTCATCCTCAAATATAATTCTTATACCCTGGAATAAAATAAAACAGAAGGTTAGCCTAGAGTCATCCTCAAATATAATTCTTATACCCTGGAATAAAATAAAACAGAAGGTTAGCCTAGAGTCATCCTCAAATATAATTCTTAAACCCTGGAATAAAATAAAACAGAAGGTTAGCCTAGAGTCATCCTCAAATATAATTCTTATACCCTGGAATAAAATAAAACAGAAGGTTAGCCTAGAGTCATCCTCAAATATAATTCTTATACCCTGGAATAAAATAAAACAGAAGGTTAGTCTAGAGTCAATCTAAATATAATTCTTATACCCTGGAATAAAATAAAACAGAAGGTTAGCCTAGAGTCATCCTCAAATATAATTCTTATACCCTGGAATAAAATAAAACAGAAGGTTAGCCTAGAGTCATCCTCAAATATAATTCTTATACCCTGGAATAAAATAAAACAGAAGGTTAGCCTAGAGTCATCCTCAAATATAATTCTTATACCCTGGAATAAAATAAAACAGAAGGTTAGCCTAGAGTCATCCTCAAATATAATTCTTATACCCTGGAATAAAATAAAACAGAAGGTTAGTCTAGAGTCAATCTAAATATAATTCTTATACCCTGGAATAAAATAAAACAGAAGGTTAGCCTAGAGTCATCCTCAAATATAATTCTTATACCCTGGAATAAAATAAAACAGAAGGTTAGCCTAGAGTCATCCTCAAATATAATTCTTATACCCTGGAATAAAATAAAACAGAAGGTTAGTCTAGAGTCAATCTAAATATAATTCTTATACCCTGGAATAAAATAAAACAGAAGGTTAGTCTAGAGTTATCCTCAAATATAATTCTTAAACCCTGGAATAAAATAAAACAGAAGGTTAGCCTAGAGTCATCCTCAAATATAATTCTTAAACCCTGGAATAAAATAAAACAGAAGGTTAGCCTAGAGTCATCCTCAAATATAATTCTTATACCCTGGAATAAAATAAAACAGAAGGTTAGCCTAGAGTCATCCTCAAATATAATTCTTATACCCTGGAATAAAATAAAACAGAAGGTTAGCCTAGAGTCATCCTCAAATATAATTCTTAAACCCTGGAATAAAATAAAACAGAAGGTTAGCCTAGAGTCATCCTCAAATATAATTCTTATACCCTGGAATAAAATAAAACAGAAGGTTAGCCTAGAGTCATCCTCAAATATAATTCTTATACCCTGGAATAAAATAAAACAGAAGGTTAGTCTAGAGTCAATCTAAATATAATTCTTATACCCTGGAATAAAATAAAACAGAAGGTTAGCCTAGAGTCATCCTCAAATATAATTCTTATACCCTGGAATAAAATAAAACAGAAGGTTAGCCTAGAGTCATCCTCAAATATAATTCTTATACCCTGGAATAAAATAAAACAGAAGGTTAGCCTAGAGTCATCCTCAAATATAATTCTTATACCCTGGAATAAAATAAAACAGAAGGTTAGCCTAGAGTCAATCTAAATATAATTCTTATACCCTGGAATAAAATAAAACAGAAGGTTAGCCTAGAGTCATCCTCAAATATAATTCTTATACCCTGAAATAAAATAAAACAGAAGGTTAGCCTAGAGTCATCCTCAAATATAATTCTTATACCCTGGAATAAAATAAAACAGAAGGTTAGTCTAGAGTCAATCTAAATATAATTCTTATACCCTGGAATAAAATAAAACAGAAGGTTAGTCTAGAGTTATCCTCAAATATAATTCTTAAACCCTGGAATAAAATAAAACAGAAGGTTAGCCTAGAGTCATCCTCAAATATAATTCTTATACCCTGAAATAAAATGTAACTGAAAATTAGCCAAGATTCGATCCAAATATATGTATTTATAGATGCAAGTTTCTCATATCTGAGAGACGTGTTAGCCCAGAAGATATGAGACAATTACATGTGATATACAAAGAAGTAATAAATAAATATTTTATCTTTTCTCTTGTCCTAAAAAGAGCAATTAGATTTGATATAACAGGAAAAGTGTCATTATCTCAAATTTTACAAATGCAGTAACACTTTCAGAAGATGTTTTGTAGTAATGGATTTGGAATGAAATCCTAATTGTGTATATTTATCTGTCATCGAATTGATACCTTATTGCTGCTTTTGTAGGGCAATATGAATCTCTGTACTATCTATGTATATATTTTTATTGACAATGTCGATTTATACAAAATTCAAAGTGGTGAGGCCAAACTTTATACTTCGCATGCAGATCACGGATACAAATGGTGTGTTTTTTTAAAAAAGTCAGCAAAAATGAAGAGACATTGTTGAAAATTGAGGTTCAATGTTCAGTGTCAAACGGGAAGTGGGGAAACCAGCCCTTGTTGGCATGTTGAGTTGCTGAATTCAATAAAAAGATTCTTATTTTGAACATGATCAATGGATTTTTGGCCTTCATTTATTTTACAGGGCCCTGTACTTCAAATGTAGCCTAGGGTTCCTTTAATGGTTTTAGGTGTTTGTTTTAGGTTTTAGGGCTATTGCTAGTGCTAGGGTAAGGTTTATTTAGTTTAGGGCTATATGGAATAAGTCCCCTAAAGTTAATGAAAGCCAGATTTTTTAAAAGCTGGAAGTAACATCCATCGTATTTAAATATTAAAGCTATTCTATAAAACATGAAGACTATTTTAAAATCAAATGTGTCGCCTGTTGCTTTATTGATGGATAAGCAATTCCTTAGTAGCTCCGATTAATTTTGAACTTGCTTAAAATAGGAAGGACTCTTCAGTAACTACAACACATATAAAAACAATAAAATTATGTGATACATGCATAAATGACAAACAAAGATACCTTTGAATCTTAGTTATGCTGCTTATATTGTAAATTTTAATGTCAGACACCAAAAATTTGTTTTCCCTCCATCAGATTCATGGAAAGAAAAACAAAATATTTCGCCCACTGCCCCTCTATTTTCATTAGAAAAATCCCAAGAACAATTCGTTTTTATTGGTTTGGCCATAATCATCATATATCCTATACCATTTTTAAAATAACGGACATACCTGATTTTTACTGACACTTTTATCTATTGGGTCTGTATATGAAAAATTATCTGTAATTGCTACTTTGTATGATTTTCCTCCTGATGAAAAAGTTTGACCTTTTAAACTTCCATCATCAGCTTTTTTATTTAAATTGTCCATCATTGTTTTAGCAGGATCTGATTCACAGTTTTCATAGTCATACCTAAAAATGAAAGACACATTATAAACCATCTTTATCAGAAATTTATAATCACAGAGTACTAAACAAATTTGCTGAAATGCAGTAGATTTGTAAGATCTGTGTTTTGATTTATGACAAACAATTCCTACACTACCTAGACAAAAACCATAAAAGAGAGGCGAAAGATACCAATGGGACATTCAAACTCATAAGTTGAAAATAAACTGACAATGCCATGGCAAAAAAAGAAAAGACCCAAAGACAAACACAAAACACAACATAGAAAACTAAAGACTCAGCAACACTAACCCAACAAAAAAACTGGGGGTGATCTCAGGTGCTCTGGAAGGGTAAGCAGATCCTGCTCCACACATAAGCAAAGAAACAACACTATTTATGTTCTTCATTTCAAAGTAGCAGTGTTTTTAATTGGTGTCCTTAAAATTCAGTGAGGCATTATACATGAAGCAAAATATTGCCCCTCACTGCAAGTTCATGGCTTTGATAACTAATAATAATAGCAGAAATAATTGCTAGATGTCAAAGCTACATTATTACCGTTTATCTCAGGGTAAAATACAGAGCCTGATTATCTCAGGGTAAAAATCAGAGTCTGACTATCTCAGGGTAAAATACAGAGCCTGACTGTCTCAGGGTAAAATACAGAGTCTGACTATCTCAGGGTAAATTACCATGATTACAGAGCCTGACTATCTCAGGATAAAATACAGTCTGACCATCTCATAGTAAAATACAGAGCCTGACTATCACAGGGTAAAATACAAAGCCTGACTATCACAGGGTAAAATAAAAATCCTGATTATTTCAGGGTAAAATAAAGAGCCTGACTATTTCAGGGTAAATTAGAGCCTGAGTATCTCAGGGTAAAATACAGTATGACTATCTCAAGAGTAAAATACAGAGTCTGTAGAAACATTTATACAACCAAGTGACAATCAATATTTGTTACATAACTTGGCAGGGGGAAATAGAAAGAAATGGCAAATATGCAAATAACAGCAGAATGGACATCTTTAAAAATTTGGAACCTTTTCCTTGAAAATTGTCTTGCACAGTCTATTAAGTGTCCTTGCTAAATCAGTTAACTCTGAAATGTTTAGAAGGATGGTGTGCTTGAGATGCACTGGTTTATTAATGTGTATTTTTCCATGGAAGACTTCCTCATTATGAGGTACCAAATTCTGTTTAAAGTATTAAAGATACTTTTTTTATCCCAAACTGAAAGACCAATCATGTCATTGCTTGTTACTTAATTTTTGTTTTTGGAAGATTTTGTGTTAGTATCAGATATTTCTTTGTTTGCTTAAACTCACAAACTATCTACACTTAATGTGATTAACAGCTTGTGATACCGAGTAGGCACTAGTGATGGTGTACAAAATTGAATATAGTATGGTGACCTTTAGACATCTCTTTTTGTTGACAAGTAGTGTTGAGTAGTTGATGGAGGGTTGGGCACTCACAAACATGTTTAACTCAGCCACATTCTTTATGTGCCTGTCCCAAGTCAGAAGCCTGTAGTTCAGTTGTTGTCTTGGTTCATGTCTGTTATATTTGTTTTTCGTAAATTGTTTTATTATAAATTAGGCCATTAGTTTTCTCATTTTGAATTTGTTTCACATGTTCATGTCGGGGCATTTTATAGCCAACTATATGGTATGGATTTTTCTTTGTTTAAGCCATACGGCCCGAGAACACAGTTATTTCGTAGTGCATTTCTTTTAGACAATAAATTCAAATTAAAAAAATCGCACCTGCTCTATCTCAAAAAGATTTTTACAGTGTAGTGTACTATTATTGATACAAATAATATCAAAATTATAGAAACTTCTACCAGCTCTAACTCAAAATATTGACAATTCTGTGTTAAGGGGGGCTAAAATTCAGTTTGACAGCTTCAGACATTCTAATTTTTGACCTTTTTTAACAGGACCAAATTACTACTTAACATAAAGATTCAGCACCCAAATTTTTTTAACATGTAATTTCATCCCCTTACTTAATATTTCATGCATAAAATATCAAGAAATAAATTGGGAAAGTGTATAAAAAAAAAATGCAAGTTATACACTGTTCACACTAGGGACTATATTCGTAGACAACGAAAACCAAAGGACGATAACTGTGTCCTTGGACCTAATAGGATAGAAAGACTTGACCAATTTTAATAAAACTTTGCATGACTTAAGCTTAGGAAATTATAAGATAGTTGACCAAGTGTCATGGCCATAGGATATATATTATAGAAACTAGGGTCATTTTAATATTGAAATTTGGGTGTTTATTTTTGACGTTTAAATCAAATATTTTCAACTGTCAAGATTTTGGCCTAAAAAATTTAAATATTGCAAAAATTTGCTTTTTAAATACTCTTGAATATAATATAATAAGTATTAAAAGCAACGGAACACTCATTTGATTTATTAGATTTATCGCAGTTATTCAAAAGTCAAATTTATATGAGCCTGTGCCTGAAAATAGAGATTTTCGAATTAAGGGAAGCCTTACATAAACATGCATTTTTTTCAACCAATTTGAAGTTTTTGAAGTTTTTTGACCATACATTATTCTTCCATATATATTAAATGTACTTTAAATGTAAAGAAAAGTTACAAAAAGCATACCACATGAGTATAAAATGGTCTTAGGCCATGTAAGACTGAGAATTATTTAGAGTTGATTTAGGCCGTAGCCCATATTTACATATAAAAATGCACACAGAGGCTATAAGAAATGGAAATTTGTTACTTTTTGCTCATTTCTATGCTGAGATGTTATGATACAAGAAGTTTAATTGCAAAAGGACTCTTGAATTCAACTTTTTTTTGCAGACAGTATGGTCTGATGACCAGTTTTTCACTTTTCAATGGAAAACTTGCATGTAGTTTTAGTCTCAATTGGCATATATTTGAACCACTTACTATCCTAAAGAAGAAAATTATGGTAGCATATGAAATGAATAGGGTGTACTGATCATTGTAAAGTGTTTTTTTTTTTACAGATTTAGTGAAATATTTGTGATGGACTACAGATTTTATGTACAAAGCTCTTCACATTTCACATACATCAAACAGGCCGTTTAACCAGGGACATAAATACAAATATTCTGCACATTTTTTTTGTGATAATCTACTTTTCTCTAGATTCAGAGTTCACAAATGGTTAATTAAATTTGATTTAAGCATAGAAACACAAATATCAGGAACATAAAAAGCTGTCAGATAGAAATTCAGCATGGCTCTTAGGCATAAAGTGGAAACTGCTTTTAAATGCTTATTTTAGCCGTATAATGCCAAAATGGGACATTTTAACAGAATTTCTGTCAAACAAAGATGTAAATCCTTTACTTTTATTGAGTTTGACAAATTGAAACCTGCAAACCATTCAGGAAAGTTGCCAAAGTACAGAATCTACATTTACGGAATTCATCTCTTAGGCCCGAGAACACAGTTATTTCGTAGTGCATTTCTTTTAGACAATAAATTCAAATTAAAAAAATCGCACCTGCTCTATCTCAAAAAGATTTTTACAGTGTAGTGTACTATTATTGATACAAATAATATCAAAATTATAGAAACTTCTACCAGCTCTAACTCAAAATATTGACAATTCTGTGTTAAGGGGGGCTAAAATTCAGTTTGACAGCTTCAGACATTCTAATTTTTGACCTTTTTTAACAGGACCAAATCACTACTTAACATAAAGATTCAGCACCCAAATTTTTTTAACATGTAATTTCATCCCCTTACTTAATATTTCATGCATAAAATATCAAGAAATAAATTGGGAAAGTGTATAAAAAAAAAATGCAAGTTATACACTGTTCACACTAGGGACTATATTCGTAGACAAATAAAACCAAAGGACGATAACTGTGTCCTTGGACCATACTATGCCTACAATTGCTTACATCCACTTCATTTGAACCCTGGTGGATGGTTGTCTAATTGCTAATCATACTGCATGTCCCTTTTTTTTTTATTGAGTGGATGTATCTGTAATATTTACCCCTAAATCTCCCTTTATTCCTACAGTAGCATGGTTAACATAATATTCTACACTAGTGTACAACCAGCAGCAGCTGCTTTAGGTTTTCTATTTTGGAAACAGGGTTTTTAAACAAAACACTCATGTAAAAATTACTTAAAAAATAAGGCAAATCCAAAACTACCTTGTATAAAAGTTTCTTCCATACAGTTTCCAATGATCTAAAATAAGTTCTTCTACACTACATTTTTTATTTGCTAAAACAGACAGCCATGCCAGTACAGCCCATAAACCATCTTTTTCTCGTATATGATCTGAACCAGTACCAAAACTTTCCTCACCACACAATGACATCCTGCCAGCATCCATTAAATTACCAAAGAATTTCCATCCTGTTGGAACTTCAAAACATTCTAATCCTTTGGCCTTTGCTACCCTAAAATAAAATTTTATAGAATTTTATGTACTATTTGGTCATTACGGCTCTTTTTTGTTTAAAGTTTCAAAAGTCTAATGTGCTGGATATATTATTTTCAATTTCATGAAATATTTACAGAAACTAAAAGATCATCTCTTGAACATTAGTGTTTTTGCTGAAATTAAAATTTATATACAAATACATTCCATTTATTCTTCAGGTATGTAACAGCATTTACATTGTTCACTGCCAAGTACCAAAGCTAAAAAATTCTGGTTGAAGCTTTCAACTTTTTGTTATAAAGATATAATGCTATCAAATGAATCACAAACCATAAAATATTTGTTTATGTTTACGTTCCAATAGAAGGTATATTTCTATATTGACCTTGAACTCCTTATTATTTGCCTGTCTATAAATGCTATTCCAGTAGTAAACTTCTAACTCAACTTGTGATATCTCTAATTCACCTGTTAGCTTCATAACCTTGATGTCTGTAACTTCCTGGTTTCTTGCTCCACTTGCAAGTACTGTCTATTCAGAAATTATAGGGTGAGGTTCTAATCGTGATCGGCGACCGAGAAACAAAAATGTGTGATTTATAAGAGTGACATTATGTATTAATGCTACATAAAATGTGATCGAAATATAAATGTTAGATTTAATTAACAGAATGCTAAGCCCCATTTGAAATTTTTCACAGTAATATAAACATTGCAAAAGTTTCTGAATTGCTAGTGTACTGCTAGCTTGCCCTTTGAACTCTGTTTTTTTACCTGTCTACTGCTCCACTTGTCGGCATACTTCTAGCTAAACCTTTGACACCTGTTCTTTGGAAGTATGGGATACAATCTAGGTTATTAGCCAGCACAGCCAGTGAATCAGATGGGTTTACAAAAAAGGCATTTTTACCCAAAATCATATTTCTGTCCTGTAAAATACAAATGATATCATTTCAATATTCAGGGCTCACACTTCTCCTTATATTATATTGGTTGAGTACATGGGAATTCAAAAAACAATAAAATGCTCCGCTGGGTGCAGCTTGATACGACCGCAGAGGGTGATCCCTGAACAGTTGGGGCAAGCATGGACACAACATTCAAGCTTGATACAGCACTGAATTTGGATTGTGATTAAATATTTGACACAGCATAGGTTTCTGACACAGAATGAATGTGGTCTAAGAACTTAAAATTTTTTAATTTACCTATTCAAACCATATCATTATTATTTGCTTTTATATATAAATCAGAAATAACCAATTTAAAATGGAAAATTTTAAAGAAAAAAAAGGAAAAAAAAAATCCCCCCTCAAATTTTTTGAACCCCCTTATGATTCATCACCCCCAAACTCAATCCCAGCCTTCCCTTTGTGGTATGGTACCTTGCAGTACAATTTCAGAGAGATCCGTAAACTTGTACACAAGTTATTGTCTGGAAACTAGAAAAATGCTTGTGTTTTTTGGCTCCAAATTCCTAAACGTTTAGGGCAATTACCCCCAAACTCAAACCCAGCTTTCCCTTTGTGATATGGAACCTTGTAGTACAATTTCAGAAAGATCCATACACTTACACACAAGTTATTGTCATGAAACTAGAAAAATGCTTGTTTTTTGCCCCTTTTTTGGCCCCTAATTCCTAAAATTTGGAGGCAATTAACCCAAAATCAATCCCAGCATTCCCTTTGTGATATGGAACCTTGTGGTACAATGTCAGAGAGATCCATACACTAACACACAAGTTATATCTGGAAGTTACAAAAATGCTTATTTTTGGCCCCTTTTTGGCCCCTTATTCCTTAACTATTGGTACCATAACCCCCAAAATCAATCCCAACCTTCCTTTTGTGGTATTGAACCTTATAGTAAAATTTCATACAGATCCATTCACCTAAACTAAAGTTAGAGTGCGAAAACCAATGTGTCTTCGGACGACGACGACGACGCCGACGTCATACCAATATACGACCGCAAAATTTTTTTGCGGTCGTATAAAAGTCAGCATTAAAACAAAAAAATTCAATATGAGAAAATTCATGAACCTATTGAATTTCGTTTTTGTTAAGTTGTTATTAGTTCATTAAGTCAACCTAGGTCATATGAGGAAGACAGAAAGATTAAACCAGTCAAATAGTTTTGTTCTAATTCAAAGTAGGTAAATGGACTCAGTAGCTCACTTTTATGGATCTGCTACTAAGTTCTTCTATAACTACTTTGACTTAACAGTTTGGGCTCACCAATGTCAAACAATGTGATTCATGACTCTGTTATTCAAAAAGCCTATTTGATATCTTATACATGGCTAGATGTTGAGGTTTATCAAAGTAAATTTTTATCTTTCCACATAAATTTCCTGATGGTCAGTTTACATTCACAATTGTTGGACAGAATAGACATGATCTTTGATGTGTAAGAGCCAAACCTTATTGTCGAGCCTTCGACTTTTGTCGAAAAAGCGAGACATAACGATCCTACATTCCGTCGGCGTCATCATCGGCAGCACCCACAAATATTCACTCTGTGGTTAAAGTTTTTGAAATTTAAATAACTTTCTTAAACTATCCTGGATTTCTACCACACTTGGACAGAAGCTTGTTTATGATCATAAGATAGTATCCAGATTGATTGATTGATTGTTGGTTGCTTAACGTCCAGTGGCAAATTATAGTATCCAGAAGTAAATTTTGTAAAAAAAAAATTCCTGTTTTTCCGTATATTACTTATAAATGGACTTAGTTTTTCTGCCCGGAAACATTCCATTCACTCTGTGGTTAAAAGTTTTTAAAATTTTAATAACTTTCTCAAACTATCCTGGATTTCTACCAAACATGGACAGACGTTTGTTTATGATCAAAAGCTAGTATCTAGAAGGAAATTTTTATTACAATTTTGTACTTGTTTATCCATATTTTACTTATAAATGGACTTAGTTTTTCTTCGAGTAAACATTTCATACAGTCTGCAGTTAAATTTTTTAAAACATTTATTAGATTCATAAACTGTCCTGGATTTTTACCAAACTTGGACAGAAGTTTCTTACAATAAAAAAAATTGTATCGAGAGGAATATTTTTATTAAATTTTTTCCTCATCTCATTTTTGTTGAGCCTGCGATTAACAGCAAAAGTAGGCGAGACACTGGGTTCCGCGGAACCCTTACAAATTTTATTATTTATGACAACACATGCACTAATACAATGTACCATTTTTTAAATCATTTCTGTTTTTTTTTTCTTCAAATTACAAAATGCAACAGATGTGTACTTGAAAATAAGTTTTAAAAGGTAAAGGTTCATAAAAATTTGATGATGTGACACTATTTTTAGCTTACCCCATCTCCATCAAATGCACAACCAAAGCTATGATTTCCTTTCTTTAATTCTGTGACAAGATCAGCAGCATAGGTAAGGTTAGGATCTGGATGTAAGCCTCCAAAGTCTGGTAATGGTTTACAGTTCACTATACTGGACTTTGAAGCACCAAGCTCATCACAGGCTATTTTACTCACATATGGACCCATCACTGAAATACATGAATTTATATTTTATAAGTTTGTTCCTTAGATGACTGCAATTAATCTAAACTCATTAATACATATACATATGTATACAATTCCATTTACAATGCTTAATATGCAATTTAAAGAGAAATTATAAGTTTATTGTGTAAAATAAGTTGTCTTGCTTTAAAGTTTGTAATTCAAGACTGCACTACTGAATAACATGTGCTATGTTATAAGCTGGGACACTTATCTAACATGTGTCTCTATCTGATCTACTAACAGTAATAAGTTTATACCTAGGATTAACTATCGAGTTAAATTAGGACATAGTTAGTTCAAAATGATGATTTTTAGTGAAAAATGGATATATATTGTTAAAGGAGTTATGTCAGCATTTGTCAAATATTGAATCCAAGCTCTCCAGTCTTGATCAAATCGACAGTTGATTAAATAACATGGAGAAATCTTTTTTTATTTATGGAGAAAAATAAAATTCCTGTCGAGATTGAAATAGTAAAAAAAGTTATGAGCTATCCACTCAACTGAAACACAGTAAATGGTGTGTCAACATTAGATACTTTTATACTAACAAACAGATTTTACACAATAGAGTTTTACAAAGTTCTTTGATTGTATAAACCTGCAATAAAAACTCAGACCAACAAAAATTGACAGTCTTAATGGAATAGAAGTCATCCGTGGATTTGATGACCAATAAAATGCTCCGCTGGGGCGCAGCTTGATACGACCGCAGAGGTCGAACCCTGAACAGTTGGGGCAAGTATGGACACAACATTCAAGCTTGATACAGCACTGAATTTGGATTGTAATTAAATATTTGACACAGCATAGGTTTCTGACACAGAATGAAAGTGGTCTAAGAACTTAAAAATTTTCAATTTACCTATTCATACATGTGATGGACTGTGAAACTCAGATCAGGAGATTGGGAAATTTTGGTCAGGAGATTAGGACTCAGATCAGGAGGTTTTTAATCGACATTAATTTTGTTGTAAATGTAACCGTGTGCTGTAAAAATGGTCTTTTAAAGTGTGTTTTCTTCAACTTTCCATCCAATTTATTATGTTTATAGTACCCTTGTACTTATAAAGTTTCTCCATCTTTATATTCTACATGTTCAATCTAACATTGTTTTTTTCCAGTATGTTCTTTAAATTTTTTACTTCATATTCTATAAAACAATCATTGCAACTAGAACATTTTTTTAGCTGTCTGCAAATAGTTTTTATTTATTTTTTTTTTCTCTTGCAAATAGTTTTTATTTGCAAACTCAGAAATTCATTCTATCTGTAAAATTAGGGTCATAGTTATTATATAAATTTCAATTTAAGCCTTAAAAGGAAGTATAGAATCCTCAAATAATTTTCAAATTATTATTTTTTTATTTGTCCTAAGACATTTAAAATCATTTAATAACCATCCTTTTATGATTATTTGTTCAATTTATATTTTATTTATATTCTTTTAAAAATTTTCATTATTAAAAGGAAAGTAACTTAAAACAGGATAAATCAAGGGAAGTAACCCAATAAATACACAGTTTTTGTTACACAACGGCAGTTAGCCTGAGGTAAAAATCGTTGCTTACCAGTATGTTTGACACCCAAGCTGACAAGTGAAGCCATATAATTATGCATGTTAATTGATTTACAGGTAAAATATAACTTCAGGTAATGTCAGTTACACCAGATGCCTGAGATGATATGTTGGGCAGAAATTTTTCATTCATGAAAAATTTCATACACGGGATTTTTTCCTCTTCAACGGGAGGTCTGGAGGAGACCCCTGAAAACGGGATTATTGTACTCCCGTCGGGAGGTTCACATGTATGCCTATTCAAACCATATCATTATTATTTGCTTTTATATATAAATCAGAAATAACCAATCTAAAATGGAAAATGTTAAAGAAAAAAAAGGAAAAAAAAAATCCCCCCCCCCCCCCAATTTTTTGAACCCCCTTATGATTCACCGCCCCCAAACTCAATCCCAGCTTTCCCTTTGTGGTATGGTACCTTGCACTACAATTTCAGAGAGATTCATACACTTGAACACAAGTTATTGTCTGGAAACTAGAAAAATGCTTGTTTTTTGGCCCCTTTTTGGCCCCAAATTCCTAAACGTTTAGGGCAATTACCCCCAAACTCAATTCCAGCTTTCCCTTTGTGATATGGAACCTTGCAGTACAATTTCATAAAGATCCATACACTTACACACAAGTTATTGTCCTGAAACTAGAAAAATGCATGTTTTTTTTGCCCTTTTATGGCCCCTAATTACTAAAATTTTGAGTGAAAACCCCCAAAATCAATCCCAGCCTTCCCTTTGTGATATGGAACCTTGTAGTACAATTTCATAAAGATCCATACACTTACAAACAAGTTATTGTCATGAAACTAGAAAAATGCTTGTTTTTTGTCCCTTTTTGGCCCCTAATTCCTAATATTTGGAGGAAATTACCCCAAAAATCAATCCCAGTATTCCCTTTGTGATATGGAACCTTGTAGTACAATTTCATAAAGATCCATACACTTACAAGCAAGTTATTGTCATGAAACTAGAAAAATGCTTGTTTTTTGCCCCTTTTTGGCCCCTAATTCCTAAAATTTGGAGACAATTACCCCCAAAATCAATCCCAGCATTCCCTTTGTGATATGGAACCTTGTGGTACAATGTCAGAGAGATCCATACACTAACACACAAGTTATGTCTGGAAGTTACAAAAATGCTTATTTTTGGCCCCTTTTGGCCCCTAATTCCTTAACTGTTAGTACCATAACCCCCAAAATCAATCCCCACCTTCCTTTTGTGGTATTGAACCTTATGGTAAAATTTCAATGAGATCCATTCACTTAAACTAAAGTTAGAGTGCGAAAACTAATGTGTATTCGGACGACGACGCCGGACGACGACGACGACGACGACGCCAACGTCATACCAATATACGACCACAAAAATTTTTTTGCGGTCGTATAAAAACCATCATTCAACATTGGTTGTGGCTTGTTTCAACGCAAAGTTTCTGTTTCTAACTAACACACCATTAATTCCCAAAGGCAGTCCAAATTTCTGCCTTTCATCTAAGGTTTCCCCTATCTTGTAGAACCTACTTACTGTATTTATAACAATTGTTAATGTGTCCCATATATATGATTATCAAATAAAACATTTAATGCATTACTGTAGAGCTTGTTATCAGGGCTCTTGGTCATAAAACTTCCATAAGTAAACCTTTCACTTATGTGAGCTAGAAATTCTAGTTACAGATTTAGTTTTTAACTCAGTACTCAGAGTACAAAATTTGTGCTCGAAACACCAAATCCAGTATTTTGATTGGTTGAATTCTGAGTGTGAGTACAATAATCGTACTTAAAATTTTTATGACCGCAAGGACAAGGCCAGGTCACATGTGTATGTTATTAAATACAAATAAAATGCTTCGCTGGGCGCAGCTTGATACGACCGCAGAGGTCGAACCCTGAACAGTTGGGGCAAGTATGGACACAACATTCAAGCTTGATACAGCTCTGAATTTGGATTGTGATTAAATATTTGACACAGCATAGGTTTCTGACACAGAAAGAATGTGGTCTAAGAACTTGATTTTTTTTAATTTACCTATTATGGTCCAATGTCCAAAATCAAAATACATGGTTAGATTCAGCATATCAAAGAACCCCATATATTCAATTTTTGTTGAAATCAAACAAAGTTTAATTTTGGACCCCAACTTGAAAAACTTGAAAACTGGGCCCATAATCAAAAATCTAAACACATGTTTAGATTCAGCATATCAAAGAACCCCAAGAATTCAATTTTTGTTAAAATCAAACAAAGTTTAATTTTGGACCCTTTGGACCTTAATGTAGACCAATTTAAAAAACGGGACCCAAAATTAAAAATCTAAATACACAGTTAGATTTGGAATATCAAAGAACCCCAATAATTCAATTTTTGATGAAATCAAACAAAGTTTAATTTTGGACCCGTTTGACCTCAATATGAACCAATTTGATAGTGGGGCCCACAAATAAAAAATCTAAATACATGGTTAGATTCAGCATATCAAAGAACGCCATATATTCAATTTTTGTTGAAATAAAAAAAAGTTTAATTTTGGACCCCAACTTGGACCAACTTGAAAACTGGGCCCATAATCAAAAATATAAACACATGTTTAGATTCAGCATATCAAAGAACCCCAAGATTTCAATTTTTGTTAAAATCAAACAAAGTTTAATTTTGGACCCTTTGGACCTTAATGTAGACCAATTTAAAAAACGGGACCCAAAATTAAAAATCTAAAAACACGGTTAGATTTGGCATATCAAAGAACCCCAATAATTCAATTTTTGATGAAATCAAACAAAGTTTAATTTTGGACCCTTTTGACCTCAATATGACCCAATTTGATAGCGGGGTCCACAAATAAAAAATCTAAATACATGGTTAGATTCAGCATATCAAATAACCCCATATATTCAATTTTTGTTGAAATCAAACAAAGTTTAATTTTGGACCCCAATTTGGACCAACTTGAAAGCTGGGCCAAAAATCTAAAATCTAAATACATGTTTAGATTCAGCATATCAAAGAACCCCATATATTCAATTTTTGTTAAAATCAAACAAAGTTTAATTTTGGACCCTTTGGACCTTAATGTAGACCAATTTGAAAACTGGACCCAAAATTAAAAATCTAAATACACGGTTAGATTCGGCATAACAAATAAATAAATGTGGTCAAAGATTATACAAATCTAATGCGCCATACTGTGCAATTAAAGATTACTTCTTGAAATTTTTCAATATTTGAAATTTGAAAAAAAAAAAATATTTGAAGAATAATTCTTTTTAATTTCTGAAATCTGAAATGAGAAAAAATTGACCCCCCCCCCCACAATTTCTTTTTACCTCCCCCCCCTTTTTTCCCCCAAAAAATTCTTTCCCTCAAGATATGGTCATAATCTCAATTCAAATTTCCAATGGAGTTTGCAACCATAATTACCCATTTAAATTTACCATAGTGCTAACTTAATCTATTTTATAATAGAATTTAAAATATAGTGTCAAATCTTTCATATGGATTTTTTTGTAAAAAAAAAGATGCAACATTTGCAGATATTTTTACTGGTCTTCCTTTATAAATATGCATTTCTTTAAACATAATTTAAAAGCAGTGTAAGGGAAGTAACCAAAACGTTGTATTTGGATTACCTCCCTTACACTGTTTTAAATTATCTTAATTGTTCATTAACCATTACTTTATACATAATTTAAAAGCAGTGTAAGGGAGATAATTTCAATGATGTATTTGATTTATCTCCCTTACACTGCTTTAAATTATGTTTTGTACTAAAGTATTTGTCCATTAACCAGGACAACCTTGTTTTTCCCCCTTTTTTGCCCCTAATTCCTAAACGGTTTGAGCCATAACCCCCCAAAGCAAATCCTAACCATCCCTTTGTGGTATGGAAACTTGTAGTATAATTTCAGAGAGATCCATACACCGTTCCACAGTTATTGTCTGGAAACTAGAAAATGCTTATTTTTGGCCCCTTTTTTGCCCCTAATTCATTAACTGTTGATACCATAACCCCCAAAATCAATCCCCACCTTCCTTTTATGGTATTGAACCTTATGGTAAAATTTCAAAGAGATCCATTCACTTAAACTAAAGTTAGAGTGCGAAAACCAATGTGTCTTCGGACGAAGACGCCAACGTCATACCAATATACGATCGCAAAAATTTTTTGCGGTCGTATAAAAACTACTACTTTATAGAGCTGTTGGTGTATCACATGCACATGAGTACGCTATCAAAATTTGTCAGAAAATCTACTGTGTAATTGAAATCTTGAGTAATCTAACATTGACATCTATCATGTCTATAAGAACTATTTTTTCATGAAATCATTGTGAATGTGGATTTTCCTGAACTAAATAAAATGTATCACAAAAGCTTAAAAAAATTTGTAATGAAACAAACCTCCATTCATAGAATTTAGAAGAACATTAACACCTTGCGATGATAAGTAAGATTTTATAGCAGAGAAATCAAAGATCTCTTTCATATAGTCTACGTAATCTGCTACAGAGTCTATCACTTGTACTGTAAATTGTCTTCCGTCAACTTGGAACTTTTGTTCTCCGAGAGTTGAGAGATCAGCATTCAGATTTTTACATATTTTATATTCTGTGATGGTAGTTGTTAGCTGGTACATAGCATTGGTTACTGCTTCAGGTGCTGGTCCTAGAAAACATAAACAAAATATCATATAAAGTTATAAAGGGACATATCTGAAGAACGGTAAAAGAGACACTACCCAAATTTGTACTTGATCTGAGTTTTGTGGTAATAAGTATTGTGTATAAGTTTCATAAAATTTGGTTGAGGCAAACTTAAGCTAGAGAATGGAAACGAAAAATTCAGCAATTTTTCCATTTGTAAAGGGGCATAACTCTAGAATGGTTAAAGTGACGCCACCAAAATTCAAACTTGATCTGTATTTTGTGGTAATAAGCATTGTGTATAAGTTTCAAAACATTTAGTTGAGGCTAACTTAAGTTAGAGAACGGAAACAAAAAATTCAGCAATTTTTCCATTTGTAAAGGGGTATAACTCTAGAACGGTTATATTGACGCCATCAAAATTCAAACTTGATCTGTGTTTTGTGGTAATAAGCATTGTGTATAAGTTTCATAACATTTGGTTGAGGCAAACTAAAGTTAGAGAACGGAAACCAACTTTGGGACGTACGGACGTACAGACGACAAGGGTAAAGCTAAATGCCCCCTCCGCTACGGCGGGGGCAAAAAAAGTCTAAAACTATAAATTTGATCAAATCTATTAGTGAAACAGTGAAACTAGTCACAATTGTCCATCTCTATGCTTATTAAAGGGTAACTAAGTCTGTAAATATTTAATTTTTGAAAATTTAGTAATTAGTGTCGCCCCTCCCCCTCTCAATGGCTCACTGGGTAAAACATAATACTTGGTGATGAAGGGAGTCCATATCGTCAAAAACTTTATTTACAGCATGGTTTTATGTTTGTCTTCTGACATCATGGACAATTGTTTCTTGTTACTCCTTAATTTTCTGATTTTCCTTTATTCGGTCACTAATACCCATATTTTGGTTGATTCAGTTGATTGTTTAATGTGGTTATCACGACTTTACAGGAGTACTACTTCAAGGCGGTCATATTTTTCTTTCAAGTTCGAGGAACGTTTCAGAGTGTTGAAGGTAAACCATCAACCATTTGAAAGAGAGAAACAAACTATCACATACCAACAGATTTTGTGCAAATGAACAGAGCAAATCTTGAACATATAAAGTATTGGTTTTAAGGCAATGACTTTGGATGAACAAGTTTACTTTAAATCACCTGGAGATTGCTAATTTCAAATTTGTTGACCTTTTGACAATTTATTAATGGCTGTTTTTCCATTAAGATTTTGTGTAGTGCTTGTACGATGTAAATGTCACTACATGTTTTTAATGCACATATTGTGTGTAAGTATGGGTAAATATAAAACCTATCCTTCTTTGTATTTTGCATATAATCATATGGATAATTCACTTTAATTATTGGCATAATTTACACATATACATGTACCTACCTCCATTGGATATATTAAATTTAATACCAAAATCAGCATCTGGCCCTCCAGGGTTATGACTGGCAGTCATTATGATCCCCCCATCTGTATTATACTTCCTGATAACACAGGATACACTTGGAGTTGACATCAAACCATTCTGGGCTAATATCAATCTTGAAACCTATGAATGATAATAAAAACAAAACATTATTTTTTCATTTTTTTGTTCTCATTTCAAGCTTTATACAACTAATTAACATTTGGATGATCATTGTCAATGAGAATTAATGTCAGTGAAATTTTCCAAAGCTCACAGTAAGACCAATTATCAACCCTTTAGTAATAGTATGCATTAAACAAAGTGAAAAATAATGTGAAATTAAAATGTATCATAATAAAACTTCTGTTTATCTTTTTTTCAAGATGTATTTGTATCATTTATTTTGAGGTTTTGTTGTTGTCTGTTCGTTTTTTGTGGGCCTTTTCATGTGACTGCTTTTTCCCAATTTTTCATGTTAATTCCTCCACATTCACATAAACCACTTCTGCTTTGTCTACTTTCAATTGAAGGGACAAGTTCAATCCAATCTCTATTATATAATTATAAAAATTATCCAATTATTTTTTTACTAATATGGGATATATACTGGATTCACTGTAAAATTTCTTATATACAAGAGTGCACACGCTGAAATGTCTTGCCTTTTTTACTGACCATTGATTTTATGTTGATAGTCCTAAATATAAAGCTTTACTAAAATTATCACATAAACTTAACATGATCCAAGAAAATGAGGTCAAAGTCAGATAAACCAAACTGGACATACATGTACACCTTACAATCATTCAATACACCAAATATAGTTGACCTATTGCTTATAGTTTCTAAGAAACAGACTTAACCATGAAAACTTAACATTGACCAATGAAACATGAAAATGAGGTCAAGGTCAGATGAACCATGCCAGACAGACATGTACACCTTACAATCAATCTTTGCATTAAATATAGCTAACCTATTGCTTATAGTATCTAAGAAACAAACTTAACCATGAAAACTTAACATTGACCAATGAACCATGAAAATGAGGTCAAGGTCAGATGATACCAGCCAGACAGACATGTACCCTTACAATCATTCCATACAACAAATAAAGTTGACCTATTGGTTAGTCTAAGAAAAAATGACCAAAACACAAAAACTAAACACTGAGCAATGAACCGTGAAAATGAGGTCAAGGTCAGATGACACCTGCCAGTTGGACATGTACGCCTTACAATCATTCCATACACCAAATATAGAAGACCTACTGCTTATAGTATCTGATATATGGACTTGACCCTGAAAACTTAAACTTGTTCACTGATCCATGAAATGAGGTCGAGGTCAGATGAAAACTGTCTGACGGGCATGAGGACCTTGCAAGGTTCACACATATTATATATAGTAATCCTATTACTCATAATAAGAGAGAAATTAACATTACAAAAAATCTTTTTTTTCAAGTAGTCACTGAACCATGAAAATGAAGTCAAGGACAATGGACATATGACAGACGGAAACTTCATAATATAAGACATCTATATACAAAGTATGAAGCATCCAGGTCTTCCAACTTGGAAAATACAAAGCTTTTAAGAAGTTAGCTAACGCCGCCGCCGCATCACTATCCCTATGTCGAGCTTTCTGCAACAAAAACACATAGAACAAATGTTAGAGCTACATGCATTGTAACTTGACTGTCCAATAACTCTTTTTTTGGATATGAGTTTGAATGAACTGATCTTTATCAACAATGTCTATTACTAATCACCTATAAAATAAAATGCTTTGCTGGGCGCAGCTTGATAGGACGGCAGAGGTCGAACCCTGAACAGTTGGGGCAAGTATGGACACAACATTCAAGCTTGATACAGCACTGAATTTGGATTGTGATTAAATATTTGACACAGCATAGGTTTCTGACACAGAATGAATGTGGTCTAAGAACTTAAAATTTTTTAATTTACCTATTCAAACCATATCATTATTATTTGCTTTTATTTATAAATCAGAAATAACCAATTTAAAATGGAAAATTTTAAAGAAAAAAAAGGAAATAAATGTGGATAGTGTCCACATGTGGACACAGATGATGCCCCCGCTTGCATTTCATATAGTTATAAAGGGACATAACTGAAGAACAGTAAAAGTGACGCTACCCAAATTTGAACTTGATCTGAGTTTTGTGGTAATAAGCATTGTGTTTAAGTTTCATAACATTTGGTTGAGGCAAACTTAAGTTGAGAACAGAAACTAAAAATTCAGCAATTTTTCTATTTGTAAACACGCATAACTCTAGAACGGTTGTGTATAAGTTTTATAACATTTGGTTGAGACAAATTAAAAAATTCAGCAATTTTTATGTTTATAAAGGGACATAACTCAAGAATGGTAAAAGTGTCAGCACCTTATTTCGTACTTTATCTGTATTATGTAGTAATATGCATTGTGTATAAGTTTCATAACATTTGGTTGAGGCAAACTAAAGTTAGAAAACGGAAGCAAAAAATTTGTACTTGATCTTAGTTTTGTGGTAATGAATATTGTGTATAGGTTTCATAATGTTTGGTTGGGGCAAACTTAAGTAACAGAATGGAAACTAAAAATTTTGCAATCTTTCGATTTATAAAGGGGCATAACTCAATAATGGTTAAAGTGACACTACCCAAATTCAACTAGATCTGTGTTTTATCAGTGGAAGTCAAAATTAAACATTGCATTGTATAAAGCAATGATTGTAGTTGATTCAACTATAATCATGGACAAAAGAAGATAACTCCAATTTTAAAAATAACTTGATATGAAGAAGAAAATAAAAATTTTGCAATTTTTCCATTTATAAAGGGACATAACTCTAGAACAGTTGAAGTGACGCCACCAATTCAAACCTGATCTGTGTTTTGTGGTAATTAGCATTGTGTATAAGTTTCATAACATTTGGTTGAGGCAAACTCAAGTTAGAGAACGGAAACCAATTTCGGGATGTACATACGTACGGACGTATGTACGTATGTATGACGTACGTACAGAGGGACAAGGGTAAAACTTAATGCCCCCACCGCTATGGCGGGGGCATAAAAAAAGAAAAAAAAATCCCCCCCCCCCACCAATTTTTTGAACCCCCTTATGATTCATCACCCCCAAACTCAATCCCAGCCTTCCCTTTGTGGTATTGTAACTTGCAGTACAATTTCAGAGAGATCCATACACTTGAACACAAGTTATTGTTTGGAAACTAGAAAAATGCTTGTTTTTGGCCCGTTTTTGGCCCCAAATTCCTAAATGTTTAGGGCAATTACCCCCAAACTCAAACCCAGCTTTCCCTTTGTGATATGGAACCTTGGAGTATAATTTCATAAAGATCCATACACTTACACGCAAGTTATTGTCCTGAAACTAGAAAAATGCTTGTTTTTTGCCCCTTTTTTGCCCCTAATTCCTAAAACTTTGAGGCAATTACCCCCAAAATCAATCCCAGCCTTCCCTCTGTGTTATGGTACCTTGCAGTACAATTTCAGAGAGATCCATACACTTGAACACAAGTTATTGTCTAGAAACTAGAACTAGAGGCTCTCAAGAACCTGTGTCGCTCACCTGTATTTACTGATCCTTTGGAAATCATGTAAAATAAGGTTAAAATCATAATTAATAGTATTAGATATTAGATATTATAATGATATCTAAGATAATAACAAAAAACTGCAAAATTTCTGTAAAATTACTAACTCAGGGGCAGCAACCCAACAACGGGTTGTCGGATTCATCTGAAAATTTCAGGGCAGATAAATCTAAATCTGATTAACATTTTTGCTACCTGTCAGATTTGCACTAAATGCTTTAGTTTCAGAGATAAAAACCAAAAACTGCATTTTACCCCTATGTTCTATTTTTAACCAAGTCGGCCATGATGGTTGGAAGGCGGGGTCATCGGACAAATTTTTTAAACAAGATACCCTTATAATGATTATGGCCAAGTATGGTTAAATTTGTCTCAGTAGTTTCAGAGAAGATTTTTGTAAAAGATTACAAAAATTTACATAAAAAATTGTTAAAAATTGACTATAAAGGGCAATAACTCATAAAGGGGTCGACTGACAATTTTGGTCATGATGACTCATTTGTAGATCTTACTTTGCTGAACATTATTGCTGTTTACAGTTTATCTCTATAATAATATTCAAGATAATAACCAAAAACTGCAAAATTTCCTTAAAATTACCAAATCAGGGGCAGCAACCCAACAACAGGTTGTCAGATTTGTCTGAAAATTTCTCGGCAGATAGATCTTGACCTGAAAATCAGTTTTACCCTATGTCAGATTTACTCTAAATGCTTTGGTTTCAGAGCTATAAGCCAAAATCTACATATTAACCCTATGTTTTATTTTTAGCCATGGCGGCCATCATGGTTGGTTGGCAAGGTCATCGGACACATTTTTTAAACTAGATACCCTAATGATGATTGTGGCCAAGTTTGGTTAAATTTGGCCCAGTGGTTTCAGAGGAGAAGATTTTTGTAAAAAGCTAACGACGACAGACGACGGACGCCAAGATGAGAAAAGCTCACTTGGACCTTCGGGCCAGGTGAGCTAAAAATTAGTTGGTACCCTTTTAACGTGTTTTAATGCTGTTACCAACAAATTTTATTATTTACAACAATATTATACTTGTAAAAAGTGCAATTACGTGTTGGAAACCGAAATCACAAGAAAAACATACTCACTTCATCAAAGGGAGTAGTTATTTCACAACAGCATTCATATATGAAGATATTTGTCTATCCTGTTACTATGGTTACAGTTACAGGATAGACATTATTTGACTGAATTTTCTTTATAAAAAGTATATACCGGTAATTACATAAAATTTTACACATAATGAAATGTTTGGTTGTTTGAAATCATTTAAAGGTTACATCGTCTTAATCTTATCAATTTAGCATATTCAAAATGCAATACTGTTATCGGTTACAGGATAGACAAATAGGGTAACAGGATAGAACTTAATATGGTGATATATCGTTAACGTACATTGTTCTTGTTACCAAGAACAAAACGACAAAAGTAAACCAACATGCGAGGGAATTACTTGATATTGGGTTTATTAGAAAGAGAAAAAAATGCTGAACATTATGAATTGCAATCTAATAAAATATATAGAAGTTTAAACTCTTGAAAACTATCTTATTGACAATGAAGAACAAGCTTAAAATCTTATCATGCTTATTGAAATCTTTTCTAAAATAACTCAAAATATCTTTTTAAAATGGTAAAAGGAGAGACAAAATACTGCACCACCTATCAAAAAATGTTTCTATATACACTGTATTCTTGTATGACATTATCAAGATTACATCTTTTTATATGTTGTTCCATAAGTATTGTTTGTTTTGATTTGCGTATTTAAATTAGCAACTATTATTTAATTTTGCAATATCAAAATTCGACATTTTTTGAAAAAAAAACCCATATTCATCCTGTACATTGTATATAACATTAATAATATGCACAGGTTGCTAGATTTATGACATATTTTTTAGTGGATGAGTTTTTAGTTGGTGCGGATGTATTTTTATCAATAGTGCATAAGTCATTCATACATTTGTATCTGTCACAGGGGCTTGTTAAGTGGGACAGACAAGGTTTTCCTGTCAATGACAATGGCAGTGGCTATCCTACCGGTATTTTATTTAGGATAGTCACCCGCCATTGACAGTCAAACCTTGTCTGACCCACTAAACCAGCCCCTGTAAAACTTGTAAAAAGAAAGAAAGGAGTGATTCAGACAATATATGGTCAGATCATATGTTTTCGTAGTCATATGAATTCGTACTATACATGCATTTTCAATGGAAATTATGACGTCACAATGCATTCTTGATAGCACGAAAACACATTATATATTACAAATGTCAACACCTAACTTGAAGACAATTCAATTGTCTCCCTTGGATTGTTTTCTTTTGCTACAAATTACCCCATTAGCTGCTGCAATCTTTACAATTTTATCAGCCACTTCAGTCATGAAATATCTCCCATCTCCGCCAACCACTAAAGTGCAGCCGGTCAGTTTTTCTGCAAGTGCACCGGTCAGTGTGCATTGAATAAAATTTTCTGTGTAATTCTCTTGCTGAAACACTTTGACAGCTTTCCGAAGTCCGCTTGTTCCCGGTTTCTGGCCATCAAAAGGTTTCGTAGAAACTGTAGAGGACGAAAGTGACATGATTTTCTGTCATACGATACGTTGTACAAGGATGCTGCAAAGTTACGACCTTGACCTTAGTATAAGTATTTTTTTTTTTGCGAGGTACGAGTAGGTGTCACTTATTGTGAACTCGTACCACCACAATTTCGTACCCATCTAAAATGGCGCCGTGGTTTTTTTGTGTACTTTAGCTGGGCGAGTGGATCTAGATTTTCAACATTGAAACTGGTGCTTTATTTTGAAATTAAAAAAGGCATTGGGGTATCGTTAAAACAATATTTTAATTTTTAATAAAAAGTGCACACAGAACAAATGTACAACAGACTGAATACATTTATAGGCAAGCCGCGAAGCCCAGAATTTGATGTTAATGGCACTCCTGAAAATTCCGCGCCTGATAGGAATTCGGAATCAAGAAAAATAAATGTAAATCAGACTGCCTTAAAAAAAAGTCCTTTGATTTTCATTCTTCAATATCAAGGATTTGACTGGGGCTTAAGTTTTCGTAGAAAAAAAAAACTCACTAACTAGTTCAAATATATTATTGTCAATCTATATATATATATATGTTAAGACAGAGACATATATTATATGTCTTTTATATAGATCATTGATGTTTCGAAGAAAAGATATTTTGCACAGTAATTTTTTTTTCGTTTAGATATTTGTCAGATATCCGCAAGTAATCATAAAATAATCAGACAAATAAGGCATTTTCACAATTATTGTGCTTATAAAGGTCACATTTACCAAGATAAACATATATTTGTCAAGTTAAGACATTAAAGACGAATACGCTACCGAAACTAAATAAGTTTTGCCAGTGAAATAGCGAAACTTTTCCCTTAAAACTTGCACTGTCCATTTTACATTCGCTAATAATGCAAGGATATATAAACATCCCTAAGACCAGTTTATCAAATCAGAAAATAACCTCTCATTCCACGGTATATTCTGTAACATCTCCCTGTTTCGATGTAAAACTTTAGTTACTATATCCCGATCTTACGCATGTGTCCATCATGACAGCATTAATTTCAATATTTCAGAAGGCAAAGTCGAGCAGATTTCTGTTTTGAAATATGAATATTCTCGGAGATTTCAGTTTCACACCAGAAACCCGTTTTTTAACAAACTATAGTTCTTTTAAAAAATTGACGTGTTCCGGATTATTGCATATCATTTCACTGAAGCCAATGCACTTATTAAACACTTGTATTATATACAGTCCAACCTGCTATAAGGAATGATAAATGTCACCTCTTTTAAGCGAAAACCTGTCGTGTCAGGTCACCGTCATCTTGTCCCGTTGTGATAAATACATTTGTATTTTGAACCCGTCAATTCAAAGGTGATCACCTCTCTAATAAGGTCAGTTTTCTCTGGTCTAGAGGGTGACCGTTAGATAGAGTACTGAAGTTCAATTTCTATAAAACCTTCATGGCGTTGCTCGTTCAAACGACATATTAACTTGTGTTACTTAACAACTTGTCCCTATTTGTGCCTCACTTATACAAAACATACCATTTTTAGTTTTGTCTGCAGTTCAAGAGGATAATCTTCCAAATAAACCATATATCATAAACGTTGGTTGTACGACCGCGATATCCCTATTCCTACATTTACAGAGCTTGAGACATTAAATTTTCACAATTTTTCTTGAAGATACATCAAAAGAGTTTTACTGTAAATCAACGAGAAGAGAGAATGTTTGATTCTTCTGTGTAGGGCGTATATTGCTTTTTTATGACTAGGTTAACCATTTTTTTTTCATATCTTGAAAAGCAATTAAACGGAAGACCAAAATATATATACACAAGTTTAAAATGCATGTACACAGCATACACATTGAAACAAGGAGATTTTCCTTTTAAAATTGAGAATGAAAATGGGGAGTGTGTCAAAGAGACAACAACCAGACCAAAGAGCAGAAAACAGCCCAAGGCCACCAATGGGTCTTCATGACAGCGAGAACATTTTGATTGAAAAATATATAATTTTTAGTATAAAATCGTAAAAAAAATCGCCTCGCTCCGTTCGGCAGTATAAATACCGTTTTCAAGAATTACACCCCCTTTCAAAAATCCCCCTGCATTTACATATAGCTCGGACATAATATATATAATAGTCCCAGCATATAGTGACTATTGTAGCTCTGTTGTCGACTTCGCAAAAATATCGACATACATAAACCATTCACTGTGTTGTCAGTCAGGCAATCCTCTAAGTAATTTAGATATAAGACAAAGACAAAAGTTACTTTTTTCACTGCAACTCAAAGCATGCAATATTTTCACACAAAATATACAAATATGTAGCAGTAGTTCAGATTGAAATATTCTAATAACTGAAATGTTGAACATAGAAGATTGACTACTCTAAAGAGGTGGGTAACGTTCTCTCACTTGATTTTTTTTATTTTGTATAACTTGTTCGTATTTACTTGAAATAGTATATCAGTAATTCCGAAATTCGTTGTAGATTCTATTTTTTTTACAGTTTGTAAGCGTGCCATTTCTATAGATGATGAAGCTATATGTTTAATGCCTTGAATTTTTGTAAAGAATTGAAAGAACAGAGCGCATCAAGACATTATTTTTTGAAAGAAAATATATTTTGTATCATTTAGAATTGCAAATGTGGTACTAGTATCCAGATTTTCTATTCTATTCCAATAATACTACATCGTTTAATCAATTCACATTGTGTTGCGCTGATGTAGATTTTTTCATAAAACAAACTGAAATAAGTGTACTAATGTGCAGTTGCACACATCTTAATCGGAATATATCTTATCAAAACGTAACTCTAGCTGAAAATGGGTTTAACAATCCACATGATTCAGACCCATAAATAAGCATTGATTTAACACTGTAAAAAGGTACTTATGCTCGGATAACTTGATTTAAAATACGTTTTCATATAATTTATAATATCAAGTTATATTTTTCTACAATTCGGTTTGTGCAAATAAGATAACGCTGAGGTGCTAACCCTGGTTAAATAATTAAATTACTTGATTTAATGAGTAAGTTTTTCATAAGTGATTCTGCTTATGTTGTTGAATATCAGATTGATCGAATGACTGTTGTTTGCTTAAGGGCATACGATACAGTTTTGGTCCCACGGTGATTTTTTTTTCTCGAAAATTTGCTGTCAATTTAGCTCTTGAAAACCGATATATTTATCCACATAACATCATTTCATTACGATCCTTATATGACAGTTGTATTTTAAAAGACAAATGTATCTACCAGCTATTAAGCATCATTAATGTACTTTTATGCCTTTAGATAACTTAAAACTATTATCTTGTTGGTTGTCAGAGGGATTTTTCGAAAGTTCAAAAACAAAACAAAAATCTACTTAAACATCTCGTGGACTAAACATTTTCAGCGGTTGAAGACTAATAACCCTAGATAATACACACATGAAGTATTCTTTTTTAAGTAATGCACAAAAAAGCTCCACAAGTAAAATCTGTCGTCAAATACTTTTAGTAAAAAAATTTTTTTCAAACACACCTACTCTGTTGTTATGGCTCATTAGAAAGGTATTTCACTTGACCCATATATTAATTTTTTAGTGCTGTGAATTTTTAATGTTATTATTTCAACCTGTAGCCTATTATATAAAAATAATAGAATTTGAAGAGAGATGCTTATACGTTTTCAAGACAAAATAGTCAACTCAAACACGCCTGAACATAAAAAGGTGTACTCTACTTTCTCTTTTTGATGAAATTATTGCCTATTTTTTTTTTCTTTTTTCTAAAAAACTGTCGAGGAGGCAGAAATGCAAATTAATGCTTTAAAAAGATTAATCTTTTGTCTTTCTGCGAATTTTTTTGGTGGAATTTATGCTTTTTTTAAGCACAAAAAAGATCCACATGTATTTACACCTACCACAATCGTCTGTTTTGTGAAAAATTGTCTTTAATTCAAAAGTTTACAAATTTCTTGAAGCTCCATACTATAATTTAAGTAAAAACACGTATATAACATGTATAAAATTCTAAACAATGCACACTCATTAAACTTTTAAAGCCCACAGAAACAGATGTCAGTAAGCAATTCAATTATACCAACTTGGTCTTTTTTACCTTCTCTAATATTTTATTTAATTTCAACCTGGTATCAGCCTGTTCTTGTTCAAGTCGGATGCCATCCTGTGGGTAGCTGCACTGTGCGGGTAAGTTATTGTGTGTTTTTGATGTACTAAGTATGTTCAAGTAAAAAGCGAGGTTTGTGTCACATAATTCGGGTTTAAACCCTTCACATTTTGCGAATGTACTTAAAGTCGGACTATCTAGACCATGTGTTGTTCTTTCGTTTGTTCGTATGCCAATTTCGACACTTATTACCTTTACCGTATAAATAAATAATAACATTATACTAAAGTAATTGTGTAATACCAATTTGTTGATAATGATCTTGCAATTGAATTCATATTTTTTACCCTTTTTTCATGTAGAACACCACTTTGAATGTGTATAGCGTTAAATCAAAGTCGGTGTCATCAATTAAACGGAAATTTATGTATCAACAACATATGATTTTTTAAGAAAAATCAATGTACTAGAAATTGGAGATTTGATGATTTTAAAACAAATTAAAGAACGAAAATTTCGCCGATTTTAAACGCTTTCTACATAAATGTTCACCTATTTCGAGAGTATTCAGTCGGTAATATTTCAGAAAATAAAAGAGATAAATGCATTGTTTTTTTTCGATTTTCAGTTATAATTCAACGAGCCAAAGTTGTATGCAAAATTTTACCAAAATCTGTGACATAGCCCATTTACTGTACATTATTGACCTAAGTTATGGCAAGCCGTTCTCGTCAAAACTATGTTTAAACCCTTTTTTTTCGAAAAAAAAAATACACTGAGATTTAAAAAAAATGAAAAACACACACTGAGAATTTAAAATTACACACTGAGGTTTTAAAAAGACACACTGAGATGAAAAAAAATTGAAAAACACACACTGAGAATTGTTAATTACACACTGAGATGAAAAAAAAAATGAAAAACACACACTGAGAATTGTTAATTACACACTGAGATGAAAAAAATTGAAAAACACACACTGAGAATTGTTAATTACACACTTACATTTCAAAAATACACACTGAGATTAATATGCACATTATTAATGAATATTCATGAGATGAATAATTCAACAGATTAGAATCTTGGTCTCTCGAACTCTCGTCATTATAATGAAATGCGGTTCCTTCAACCTACATTCGTTATAAATTTCAAGACTTAACATCGTATTTTGCTAACTCGTATTCATAAGTTTGTTGCCTATAATTCAGATTATTACTAACAGTGTATCGGGATATTTTGCTTAAGACTGTTTAAGCATGGGTCCCTTTTCAAAAGTCTTTCAACTGTTACCCTGATTTTGCAAGGTAATCTTTTATATATTTGTTACGTTTATATGCTGTAATAGGCACTTGGGTAAAAATTTCACTGCATTCATTGTCTTTTTGCAGATTGTTCCAATGTTTTCTTATAATTTTAATAAAGTTTTTCACCATTTTGTAATGAGAGTAAGAGGATATTTTTCTTGTTCTATTTTCTTTGATAACGTAGTTTTTCTATACGTTGTATTTCTAATGTTTTTTTTTTAAACATTTGGCGCCAAATTGAAGGACTAACGAGTTCTGTCCACTAGTTGTTTTAGGCTTGTAATAGATTCAGATTAAGTATGCTAACTAGATATGTGCGCATAAAAAGTGCGCACAAATCTCAGTGTGTATTTTTAACTTGAATTCTCAGTGTGTAATATCAAATTCTCAGTGTGTGTTTAATAGTTTATTTCATCTCAGTGTGTCTTTTTGAAATCTCAGTGTGTAATTTTCAATTTTCAGTGTGTGTTTTTAAATTTTTGTAATCTCAGTGCGTCTTTATGAAATCTCAGTGTGTAATTTTCAATTCTCAGTGTGTGTTTTTAAATTTTTGTAATCTCAGTGCGTCTTTATGATATCTCAGTGTGTAATTTTTAATTCTCAGTGTGTGTTTTTAGGTTTTGTAATCTCAGTGTGTGTGTTTTTTTTTTTTTTTTTTTTTTTTTTTTTTTTAATTCTCAGTGTGTAAATTTTACGAAAAATGGTTTAAACATAGTTTTGACTAGAACGGCTTGCCATACTAAGTCACCAACATATTACGTTCAATGAAATCATTGACATCACTCAAAACGCGCACATATCGAACCAGCTGAGAACAGTACACTCCATACAAAATCAACAAAATAACAAGGCAAGAAACAGTCGTGTTCAGCGTTTGTAATTGAGTTTAAGTGTGAAGATTAACATAAGAAATCCTAATGTTAACGACCAAAAAGGTCATATGTCACTGTTGACATTGGATTTAGTACAAAGGAGTTGAGTTTGATATGTTTCATTTGCATATTAGAAAACTTTAGATTGTTTACAGCTAAAATATATGTATCTGTATCTGTATGTACGCTGTGGATACTAAAACTGGCTTTAATACAACGGTGGATAGAGCGCCGTCTATTTATTGACGGTGCGCAGGAGCAGTTTTGAAGCTCTTAACGCTCGGTGCGCTTACTACACTATAATATCGTCTGAAAAACTGTAGGTATTGTTCGAAATGGTAATCAAATGGTGCTTCGTTTATTTATAAAATATGCCAATAATCATTGATTCACAACAGTAAAGGAATAAATTTACAATAAAAGCAGCACTGATTTTGCCACCCCACCCCCGCCAAAAATAAATATTAGTTCCCCCCCCCCCCCAAAAAGAAAAAAAAAAAACCATTTAAAACAACCAAACGCAGTGATTGAATACGTCATAACAGTTTCTCGATAAGTCAATTAAACTAAAGACTAACACACGATATATTTAGTTTAAAGGTTTAAATCCAAGCAAGTTCACATGATTTTCTTCGCTTTTTAAATTGTATTCTGTCTGTTCGTTGTATTTTTGGGTAAATTTTATCACACTGAAAAGTATTTATTTTACAGATCTTGGGGACCATTTTTAAATATATATCTTTTAAACCTACAAATCATTTACTCTTTAACTCTTCTTTTAAGAAGACAAATTTTATGAATATTCGTCAAAATACGAATAATTTTAACTTATTTATGTACGTCAACCAAGTACTGAGTCCTCGCTGTAAAGAGCGTTCATCGTATTTTAGCACTGCACGTTCTTGGTGAAGGTAAAACCAGAAAACGGTTCGATTAAGATTGAGGCATCGGATTTAACTTCTCTATTCTAAACGGACGTGGCTGCGTATTCATACATCCCGTTCAAACAAATGGACACCCTCTTTAGCATGGGGTTCACTGCCAGATGGAATAAGTTTAGATCCAGATTTCTATACCCTAGTAAACCCTTGGGTGAATTTTCGCCGAATACAAATTAACCTAAAACATCGTTCGAAAATCCCACACGACAAATACGAAAGCGCTAATATTTATATCGCATTGCATTAGCTGCGATTCGATTCCATTCGCGCCTTTATAAACAATTTACAGTGAAAATAGGTTAAAGAAGAATAAACATATTAAGACCAAGCGATAAAATATCATTAAGTTATCATGACTTAAAATGTCTCCATAACCATCCATTTTAGGCAGCGGAAAATGTCTCCATAACCATCCATTTTAGGCAGCGGACAAAGTTTGTTTAGGAAGTCGGTGTAGAAATTTGAATGGAAAAGAAATGTAACAGAATCCGTTTGTTTACAGCACTTCATTTATTAATCACTGAACACCAAATAAGCGAAAGCAAATATAGATATGAAAGTGATATATATCATTCTGCATAAACAGCAAAAACCATACCGATAACACTATAATCATCACGTTTAACAGTTACTGTGGAAGAATTGTCAAACCTTTGATCCCATAAACATCGAGATGTGATCACCATGCTCTGATCTGCCCTTTGTACTGCTAATACATGACAAATAAATTTGAACCGTTGCATATTTAAAGATTTTACCTTCTCTTTTATTATTTCACTTGCAAGTTTACATTTCTGTCCCATAGAAGAATTATCGTAAAGGTTATCTTTGACGTTTTCATGAAACACGGTCAGCATTATTTGCTTGACTTGGGCATCCAAGAATCTATAGTCCGGTATCATTTTATATGTATTTTCATATTTAACTTCTGGTTGGAGGTCACCTGTAGATGATGCACTACCTCTGTCATGGTCCTTGTGGCTGTGACCTTTGACTGACCCATGTCCTATAGAATGTGCGGTATCTTTTCTGCTAAAACTCTTGGTTCTATGACGAACTGGATGTGAAGAATGGGCAGAAGTAGCATTTATTGTCGCCCCTTTTAGAGCATGGTGCTTCTCGTGGTGGGAATGATGTTTGTCATGGTGTTTATCTGAATGCGCATGATGTTTATCTGGATGGGCATGATGTTTATCTGAATGGGCATGGTGCTTTTCTGAATGGACATGCTGCTTGTCGGAATGGGCATGCTGCTTGTCTGAATGATGACTGTTCTTTTCTGTTTTGTCCGAATCTCCATGACCGCTTTTATGCCCTGTTGGTTGGTTTTTCTTATCGTGTTTGTCTTTCATGCCTGAAAATGAAAACATTTATAAGTTCGGTTGTCAAATACTATCTTTGGAGTCTATTTTAACTGACATTCGTAACAAATCAAAGTAAGTCAAAATTCAGCTTTCCGTAACTTCACTTGCCTTTAAGGAATTGCATCGGATATATTGGGAAAGGAATTTTGTTCTTGAAAGTCGATCAGCCGCCCATATAGGAATTCATATTTCCAAAATAAAACCAATAAAAAATGGGAAGAAACTAAGAACCAATTAAAAATCAGACCAATCGAAGAAAAACAGACAACAACATGGTAAAAAAATGACGAACAAACAAACATTCAACAAAACATTATATCAATAAATATATCTAAATCGTAAAGTGATGTTTTATTACATTTATTTGCTTTCAAACTTTTCGTTTCGAGCGAATTCTACTAAACTCCAAATATCCAGGCCTTTCCCATATATATCTTTACTGAATTTTAGTTGGTATGATCAATAAGCTGGTATTTCTTCCTTTTATATACAAGCCGATAAATCCACAAGTGAGTTCAAGGGTTGTCTAGGGTATTGCTTTGGGTCCTTTTACACTGAGATAAATATACGGTACGAGTTTTGCTCATTGTTAAGGGCATACAGTATTATTGCTTACATCCACGCAATTTGGACATTGTTTGATATTTTTATCATTGGCAATCATGCCTCATCTCCTTTTTCATAGCATCTGAACTTATTTGTTTGCTGTGCGGAATGTAGATATACACCCAAGTACGAATGGAACAGGAATGCAAAATCAAAGGTCTCGTGTTTGAAAAGTGTCATGCTCTCCGTGCGAATAGATAACATTACAATAATTCTATGAGGGTTTGGTCTATTGAAAAACATTGTTTTTGTCCCTACTAAACACATCCATTTTAAAATTTTCCAGTGACATTGCTAATTTATCGGTCTTCATCCATGTCGACTTATATTCCATAACTGCATCATGAATTGATGCAAGTTTAATTTGTTCTCGTCCTGAATAAACACGAAGTATTTACCACTGAATGTTAAGCAAACAGGTTAGGGTAATACAGCGAAAGACCCAGCATTCGAGAACTTTCAAGGAGATGTAAGGATTGTAACTGTGTTCCCAAAATATTACATTTAACGTACTAGTATTTATTAGCCAATTGTCGTAGCCATTCTCCCGTCATATTCTCGACTGAGACATCACCAAATGAGACTTAATACACATTTTTTACTTACCGTGAGCAACGCGACAGGTGTCACATGTGGAGCAGGATAACTTACCCTTCCGGGGCACCTGCTACCACCTTCAGTTTTTGTTGGGAATTGTGTCGCTCAATATTTGGGTTTTTTTATGTAGTGTGGTATAGACTGTTAATTGTCTTTTCGTTGTTTTCGTTTTTGTAATGACTTTGTCGGTCCCTCTTCAACGTATGAGTTTTAATTCTCCCTTTGATATCTTCCGTCTTTTTTTATTTTTAAAAATTTTCGGAAAGCATATGTACTTACCAAGAGCAACACGATAGGTCTGACAGAAATCATAAATAAGCTTCTGTAAATACCATATGTACTAGTATCTTATGTTCGGATTTGATAAAGTCGCCCTTAAACTATGATTTATGGTTTTAAATAAAAAAATATGTATTTGAGCAAAGTTGCCATTTAGCTATCATTTACCAATTAAGATATTTTTTTTTAATAAAAAAATATGTATTTGAGACAACAATATCGATTACGCATAAAAAGTGGAGCATACAGTTGTAAAATAAGGATGAAAGCATATATATATATATATATATGCATACATATTATGCATATTTTTATTCCAAGCTAGTAAATGTTGCATATGCTATAGTTCAATAATATTAAATGTTTGTATGCATACATATTATGTGTTTTTATTTCAAGCTGGTAAATGTTGCATATGCTATAGTGCTAAAAATGCAAATGTATGAAGACTTTGTATACGTCTGTCAGTTATTGAAGATCCTATTCATATCTTTTAGTTATATTTGTGTCTTTGGGTTGCTGTCTCATTGATCTTTACGCAATATCTCTTTTTATCCTTACATGTCAATACATTAAAAACACCCTTGAAATTACATAGTCGACAGTTCGTGCCCAAATTGCAAGACTTTGTCACTAGTACGATTTTATTTCAACATTGACTATTAAAGATTCAAAAATCTATATTGTCAATTGCAAGTCATACATACATAAATAAATTTGTTTGAATATGGCTTACATCTCAGATATAAGCTGTAATCGAATGTTATCAACAATTCTACGTTGTTATATTGATACATTCAAGTATATGAGATACTATACAATACAAACTTAGATATATATCTATTCTATCTGAGTCAGGTGCCTTACAAGTATGATTTATACTTTAAAAAAAAATGCCGATCCTTATGAATATATGTTTTATAAAAGTTTACACGAGAATATATTTATTGAAACTGTAATAAAGTTTCGTCAATATGAAAAAAATCCTCTTAACATTAGTTTTGGTTATAATACACTTCATGGACAATTACAGTTCATGAAAAAATCTCTCGTATTTGGAAAAAAATATGGTACGTTGAAAGACACAATAAAAATAATAATCTACGTGTATATTAAATCATCTACCAGTATTCAAAATATGATTTTATGCATCCAAACTTTGAAAAAATCCTATCTAAGGTGAAAACATTATGCAACCGGGAAAGAAATAATACAAACCTCTCCCTTTTAAATTAAACGTGTGCTCCTTAACTTCTAAACAATACCAATTCAATTTGATGAGCAGATAATTACAAGATGAAGGCATGATTGACTTCATTTCCAACAAAATTGATGTTTTTTTGCTTGTATTCCCCAGTATAAGCTTACCTTCAAGTATGGATTCCTAAACTCATAAACTACTTCAAGTTACAAATTAGAAATCTTTATGTTTGTAGATACCACTACATGTAATAGAAACTCAAATAGTTTTAGACACTGATTAATACAAGATCTATGACTTTCCCAAAGTTCCCTTTATCTTGTAACTAAAGCAAATGTGTTTATGAAACCTATCGATTTGTGGTTGATATTGGCCTTCTGAAGGCAAAAACGTATAGTTTGATTAAATACAAAGTTAGCTTAGCGTGATACAATTCAGTATACTTAAACTGGTATCAGTTTGTTCAATAATTGATTCCAGGTGGTCAGGGGTTACTTAAACTTAAGATTATACCTTATAGACAATTTATAGAAAAGGTACATGCTTGTTTAAATATTTTATCAAAAAACAAGAAAATCAATTCTGTACCTAGGTTGTTTTAAAGACACTGTTATATATAAAGGCAGATAACTTTCAAATTACAAAACAAATATGTTTACTTTAAATAAATATTGATACTTTCAACAATACAATGCAAGGCAATACAACATATCTAGACAAAAGATTAACTTTGAAAGCAAAAAATCTTGTTTTCAAAATTATGTATCTAAAAATCCACTGATTTCAAAGCGTTCAGGATAAAACGTTTCAGACTGATTTATACAGAAAATAGATTCAACATGAAAGTAAAGAGATGAGGTACGATTGTAAACAACTACATGTGACCTTCAATACGCCATTCAACTAAGAACAAACCCCGTATCTTATAGTAAGCTATAAAAGCCATCGGGATAACAGATTGTGAAACGATTCAAAACAGAAAACTAACTACATATAACCTACGAATTTCATTCAAAATAAGCTGGTTTTAATCACGGTCATTAATTTTTTAATATTGATAAAAATCATGAAATATCACAGTTCCCTCAATCGTTGTCGATCGTCTTTATGAGATATAAAAAAGATTTGGTATGATTGCTTATGAGACAACCCATCCACTAAAGACTAAATGATGTAGATGTAGCAACTATAGGTCACCGCACGACCTTCAACAATGACCAAAACCCATACCACTATCAAGCTATAAAAGGCCCGACACAACAAATGCAAAACAATTCAAACGAGAAAACCAACGACCTGATTTATGTACCCAACAATAAACGAAATACAGATACAATATACAGCAACATACGATAACAACTAAGTGCTTATGTGAGATTTGGTATATAATAAGCTTATTAAAAATTTCAACTTGTGTACTGATGAATTGCATTGCACAGTCTTGGCGTCCTCGGCCATTCAGTAAGACCCAAAACAGTTACGTTCGAGTTAGTTTCTGAAACGATCTATTGTACATACTTTAGACCAAACTAATTAGTCCGGATATGGGACATACAAGAGAGGTTGAAGATACCAAATGGATATTCAAACTCATTAGTCAATGACAAACTGGCAATGCCATAACTTAGCGTAAGTATTGGACGTAACGGCGATAGAACATGGTTGAATTCGGATTATTCCCCTTTTACTAGCAAAAGTATCGGATTGTCTTGGAGTATAGGGATGATACCAAGTTCAATATTGAGAAATACATGATCTAAAATATTATTAGGAAATGTCCCTGGAACAGCATCTACACATCTTAGATGAATATTGTATACTGTAACATTTAGCAAAATGGTATTCATTAATGCTTAACAATAAATGAAAGAAAGTCCTGTAAATTATCATTAAGGATCATTAAGTACATGTATCACTGCATAAAATCCAAATCACACGCGAACTAATAAATATATCCCAGAAATCGGCTGACAAGCATGGCGGCATAAGTGTAACATAGTTCCCATTTTAATAAACTAAAAGGAATATTATACTTCCGTTGTCCTCTCTGAAATTGGCTAGCCAATTTTAACAAGACTGCACAGGAATGCTGTATTGAATGTAGTCTGCGAATGAATCACATTTGAGTACAGATAACTGCCAGAGGCAATCTTTGATTATGATTGACCAATTTTTAAAAAGCCACTACTCTGAAACTACATGGTAAAAGTTTTGAAACTTAAATATCTTCTACAAACAATCTTTATATAAGTTGATCGGATGGAAACGGGGGGAAACTGTTGTCATTATAGTTTCCAGTGAAACTCTATGAAAATGCCATGGCAAACATGGCGCCAATCGTGTCACTTAAATCCCATTAAAACTTTATAAGAAACCTGTTTTATCATAGTTTCTGGTACTGTGAGTCCAATGTAGATCAAACTGGCGCGTGACGTTTGCGCGAAAAAAAAATGTCCACGTATGCGCGACAAAACGCAATTTTACGTTTGTGCGAAATTTGCCAGTTCAAAAGTTACTACATTTTTACGAATTAATTAAATGTTCTGTCAAAACAAAGTAATTCAAATAATCATGATTTCTGAAATGAATTAAAAAAGATTAAAATTGAAAACAAAATAAAGTGAAATGACAAGGTGAAAATCGATATTCAAGATGGAGTTAACCATCTGTGGGACAAATAAGAACTGATTGCGAACGTAAAGTTTTGCTCTTGGGGAAATAAGCACAATCGTGAAAGTGGTGAACATAAAAGAGAAAGAAATACAAATTATTTTATACTGATTAAACTGCAAGTGTAAGCGACGGTGTATACTAAAAGACACTGTAGTCTTCTCTCATAATCAGACATTATATATAGTTATCAGGTTTTAAACACAGGTAAAAACACAGGTAAATTACAGGTAAATTCGCGAAAACGTAATACCATTTGTTCGCTCAAACGTACTACCTGTCAAAATTAAAATTCGCGCAAATGTAAGTCGCTCGATCAAACTTGAATCAGATGTCTATATTTTAGTTCAACGATGAGACACAGTGTCTGTAAATTGTTAAAAAAAAAATTTATGTTTTGGCAATAATGTAAATACATTGATCAAATAAATGACATATAGTTACGTAACATGTACGTCAATGACTCTTCTTCCATTGTTTGATTCGAGGTACATATGTTGTGAAAGTCGAAAGGATACTCTTGATAAATTTATGACAAAATGATATTCATTAGCTGATTGTTTTAACAGTATTAATTTGTTAAATATCAGAAGGCTATATTTGTATTTGATCCTGCTCCACATGTATCACCTGTCGTGTTGCTTATAAGTAATAGGTTCAACTATTTGAATGTATATTTAATTGATTTATTGATTTGTATAAAACTAAGTAGATGTGGTACGATTACCAATGAGACGACTATCCCCCAGAGTTTAAATGACGTGGATATAAGTAATTATAGGTCACCGTACGGCCTTCACAAATGAGAAAAACCCTCACCATATAGACAGCTTTGAAAGGCCCCGACAAGAAACATCTGAAATAATTCAAACTAGAAAACTAAAGGCCAAATTTATAACAACACAATTTACGGAAAACACATTTGACAGACATACAGATTGTTGGTTTATTTGTATTCGTTAATGTTGTAACTATAGCACGTTTGAAGTTTGAGTTTTATTTTTTTCTAGTAACTAGTTTTATTTGTCTTTATTGGACATTTTCAATTTGAGGATTCAAATTAATCTTTAAATCATGTTAAACGAACATTTTATGGCTGTGTTAGCCTAAGAGAGGTTTATATTATGACACATACCAGCAACAATAGTTAACTCGTGTATAGAAATAGTGTCATTCTCATGTCCGGCAAAAGTGGGGCGACCGTTTAGATATATGGGATGTATGAATACACAGCCACGTTCGTTTAGAATGCCAATGCCCCGTATAGAGTCAGTTTCGTGCACTCTGCACGTTAACGCCTTCATCACCCTTGTAACAACTCTCAAAGGGCCCGTATGTAGCCTATTGCAAGGCATTTTTAATTGCTCTATCCAACATTCCCTCATTTTCATGTGTCAGTCCGGTCGACCTTCCTATTAAAGTGATTATGATTATGATTTGTTCTGGTCCTGAATATGTATGAAATATTTGTCACTAGAAGTTAAGCAAGTTACAATATTGTGATATTGTTAATGATGAAAAGTTCTTATTTCAATGATGTTTATATACTCAGGCCTTTGTCGCACTGCAGTTTCTGTATATGTTAAATGAAATTTGATTGGACAATAAAAAGCTGCCATTGCTGAGAGAGCATCCTTTATACAGGAATAAGGGTGACTGGTTTACATTCCCCGGATGGTCCTTAATAGTCTGCAAAACATAAAGCTAGTGATTGTCTTGTGTCACGTTAATATTTTTTTTCATAATGTCTATCTATTAACAAGAGTCCATAATTAAAAGTTACAAATCTATTCATGAACGAACTTCGCCCACAATAGAAAAAATAGATGTGGTATAATTGCCAATGGGACAACTATCAATCAGACTCTAAATTACGAGGATGTAAACTATAGGTCACCGTACACACTTCATCAATGAACAAAACCGTATAGAACTTATATAGTTATTATAGACCTTGACAAAGCGTGAAATAGTTGAGAGAAAACCAAGCTAAGCACACAAAAAACTGCAGACAGCAACAAAATACAACCATTGATTTATAGTCTCCTTACTTGGGACAGGGACATAAAGAATGTGGCGAGAGTAAACATGTTTGTTAGCGCTCAACTCTCCCTTTATCTTGGACAGTGGTGTAATATCATAACCCATAAGAAAGAACTGTAAAAATCAGTTGGAAAGGTTACTGAAATGGTAGATCAAAGCCAATTTCAACTAATAGCACCCACAGACATGTGTCCGCCTACTTGTCAAAGTACAGACAGATGTCTGTGACAACGACATACTAAACAAAATTGACAAGTAAGAGTCCATTTCTATACTTATTTGACACGAATATTACCAGAACCAAATAATTGGTGAACAAATTAATATAGTAAAACCCTTGCTAAAGAAGTTGTCCTTTTGACTGTGCGGGATGTACAAATACGCAGTCACGTCCGGACGGACAGGGGACGTTAAACTCGATGCTTCATATAGATGGAGTACCACGCTCTCTGTACGAAGAAAAGCCAACCTTGCATCAACTAATGTAGGTATCCGTAGGTAGCCTTTTGGAGTGCAAAATGTCTGCCCCTATCCAACATGCACTCGTTTTTCCAGGGGCATTCGAATTCATACGGTGCCAACTTGAGTTTTGTCTTTACTGACTTTATACGTCACAGGAGAACAGACACATTCTCCGTATATGTAGGAACCTTAAGAAAAAGTACCAACAAACTCGATTGATATGAAGGAAGGATTAAGATTTTTTAATTTAATGCACTAGGAAAATTCAAATGTACCTTACTCGTACGTAATCATTTATGAGATCGAACTGATTTGTGCAAAACTCGAGGCGAAGTCATTTTTTTTAAATTTTTTTAGGACAAGGTACAGTAAATGATATATGTCACAGATTTTGTTAAAATTTTGCATAGTACATTGAATCGTTGAACTATAACTGAAAATCGAAAAAATAATGCAGTTGTCTCTTTTATACTCGGAAATATTACTGATTGAATTCTTTCAAAATATGTGAACATTTGTACAGAAAGCACATAAAATCGTCGAAAAACATTCATAAATGTCTTTAAATAAAAAAAAATGTTTGTTGACACATAACGGAAATTTATGTATCAACAAACTTTTTTTTTATGCAAGTATTTTTTCATTCACGACCGTTTAAAATTTAGATATTTAGCTAACTTTGGGTACGCATCCCTGCTCATTGGTGCTCATACGTTGCATATAGTTTTCGTAAATGTAATGACTGTTCAAACCTGTGAGACATGATGCACGTATATACATGTATGACAGTTTTAATTATATTCTATTAAGAATAAATTCAGTCTCAGTTTAAACTTAATAATGAATATTCTCTTGGTCTGGTAGTATCTATTAATGAAATTAGATATTTTGACAGAAAAATCCTTTTGTTTAATTATGTTTCTGCTTTCCGACCATTGTGTTTCCGACCTAAGATAAATATTATAACAGAAATTGTCAAAAGGCAAATAGGTTCTAACATATAAATGATTTTTTGACTGCAACCTAGTCGTTATTGTTTTACTATCCAAACTTTGATTGTTGTAATATACAATGTCACGTGGTAGTCCAGGGACCGTATCAAAGACATAGATAACTACCTGTATAAATGATAGAAAAATCGAGACGTTCCGAGAATCTTGATTCCGAGGATATTGAATGGCCCATAGACACTTCCAAAACTCACCAATATATAGGCAAAAAAAAGTTTAGTGTCACTGAACACGGACATGTGATAGTGCGAGCGGGCCAGGATGTCCCATGGACACATATTCTTGCTTAAAATTCATACAGATGTTTTAAGTTTAAACATATCGAAATGAATAAGATGGCCGCAATAATATGAATAATTAAACTATCAACATTTTATTTTCCATTCCCATAAAATAAAGTAGTGTCCCCATATATCTAACCACCATCAGGTGATATTCAAACAACAACAGGTGAAAATATTTTAAATTGAACTGTCTTATATATTTGACATTCTGTTTTCAAATTTGATTGACAGAATGGCATTGGTTTACTATTTAATAAATATGTTATCGTATTTGGTTAATGTTATAAGCCGCAGTTAGTCAAATAATGACGATCTCGTATTTTTCGTTGTGTTGTGCTTTTTTCGTTTGCAGCTTAGTGGTTAAGCTTGAATATTCAGACACCGAAAAGGTTCTGCATTCTATCTTACCAAAACTACAACCCGAGGAATTACCCGACGTGGATGACGAATTTGGCGAGAAGAAACATCACTATTTCACAAATTATGTCCAGAACCTTTATAAAGAAATTTCTTTGAGCGATAAAGATAAATCAGTGCATGTTTCAAATGATAGAACATTTACTGATGATCAGAAGGACTTAGCTAGTGTCCATATTCTTCAAGAAAACAATTGTAAGTAAAAGATATAACTTTTTTCATTATCCGAAGATTATAAAAGATTTTTTTTTACTGTGAACTACTGTCATCATAAACAATAACAAAATCTATTTCACAGTACAAAAGGAACATGTGCATCAATATCCCCAGTTTCATTTATCAAATAAAAATATTCCCATTTGCTGTTTTTGTTAAATATACCAGTTGAAATTTTGTTATAAGGTAAAAAGAACACCGTTTTGGACAATTCAAAGATTGAGAACTTGTCATTTGTTGTGGGCGTTTGTGTATGGTGGTAGTCTGAATGATAACCTCTAGATGACTTCAAGTTGGTGATGATTTCCGTTTCAGAAATGTTATTTGCTATAGTCTGAATTGTGTTCTGAAATTTTATCTTGATGCAAGTTATCCCTTGAATGTCTTAGTTCGTTTTTAAGAAAATATTCCTGTCAGTTTACAAATAATATTAGGTTTTTTGAAAATTTCTTAATAGCTTACAGTCTCATTACTTCTATTATTCTTTTACACATACTAGTTTATAAAGCAAAAAAATTTTGTTTCATAAATTGATAGACGATTTCAAATAAACAAATTATCATTGCTCTCCATTGCAGATTTCCGGTACTATTAGCCGTAAAATGGAAGTATTATTACTATTATTTTCAAATACGACTTTCTTGAGATAGCTATAGGAAATCCCAAGTTCGCTAAGCTCCCATTTCCAACCTTGAATAAATAACTCATTGCAAGAAAAACTAAAAAACAAACAAACAAAAACAATAAACAAAAACAAATCTTGAAATTTGAATAGATCTAACAAGATTACAACGACAACAACAATTTCAGCATAATTAGCGGAATATATTATTGATGTTTCAGTTAACCAGAAAAATCTTCAGTTTGACATTTCAAGTCTGCCACGAAATATTGACGTTTCTCTTGCTGAAATCGTTACGCAACAAAACAATGCTGATAAGATGTCAAAGAAAATACCAGGTAATTTTTTTTATTGATTACGTAAATTGTATTTTTTCGACAATTCCTACACTAGGAAAAGTAAGATGATACTGAGAAGGCAATTGAAAAAACGAGTCGAAGACAATGACAATGGTCAAAAGAAAAAAAGACACTGATAAATAAAGATTGAGAAAAAAAGGTCAGCGGTTCCTGCTGCAATGAAAGTTCATAGTTCTGCTCATGTAATGAACCATCCGATTACAAGTTGTGGATGCCACAACGTATTTTTGTTACAAAATTTGGATAACGTTTCACAGGAAAATATTATCTCCCAAGTAGAAGGTTTTCTCAACCGAAAGAAAGTTATGACTGGAAAGACATCAATATATCAAAAAGTTTTTATAAATAAACCTATTTCTCTTTTGATTGTTAATTTCTTACTGTAATTGTGGTGAACACGACTTGATGTTTATTTTTTTTACATGTATATTGTATACTAGTATATGAAGGAAAGGCATTTGAGTCTTGTCTCAACATACATACCTGCCTTTGTCATTTGATACAATTATTATAATCTTTAATTAAAAGTCTTAACCGTCTTTTCTTAGTAGAGAAAGAACAACTGCGCAAATAATGCTCTTTACATTCTCTGACATTGATATATTAATAAGTCAATTTCCTAAATGTACTATTGTTTCTTTCTTTGTGTCAAATAACGCCATTCACAATGCACTATATCTCCCTTTGATACTTAACTCATATTTCTTTTACATTTTTCTTCCCACACTAAAATGAAAACGAAACATATAAGCAGAGTTCATACATTCTGGCCTTTGTTAGTCTTGTATGTTTTTTTTAAATTTTGGTTCATTTATATGTTTCGGAGTTGAGGGTGATGTCCATTTTTGTTAATTTGTACACATTTTTGTTAAAGGGCCAGCTGAATCCCGCCTCCGGGTGCGGGAATTTCTCGCTGTGTTGAAGACCCATTGGTGGCCTTGGGCTGATTTCTGCTATTTGGTCGGGTTGTTGTCTCTTTGACACCTTCCCCGTTTCCATCCTCAATTTTATTATTTTGTAAGTCTAATTGATGACAAATACAAGGAGGTGTGGTATAAACGCCAATGAGACGGCAGCCCAACAACATAAGATATAATGTTTCAGGTAGCACCAACCTTGTCTAATGTTGTGTGCAATAGATATACTTTAACATTACTGAAATAACAGATTTATCGATTTTACATAAATTTTGCTGTTTTTTGTCAGATAAGCATTACAAGATAAGATAGTGAAATTCTGTAAAATCCATATAGTTCCCGAGATAAGTTTTACAGTGAAATAAACACACTTAATTACTCTTATTTAAATTCGATATTGTCGTATCATATCTTCGTTACTGCCGCTACTCAGACATGAGAAGTCTATATCTAATACTTATTGATGAGACAAATGATCTTTGTTAATCATTTTTCAAATCGTAAAGTTAAGCTTTATTCTAATAACAAATTGAGTTATTCTATGTCATCACTGAAGCTAAGGATTGACGGCATACACAATTTTTCCTGTCCAGTTTTCTATTGATAGAACATCAGAAATCTTTTCTTATGCGATTAAATATTCTTTTAATTTCGCACAGCTTACACACAAAAACGGTAAAAGTCATTTCGAAATTTGAAACAAGCATTAAAGCAGTCAGAATGATTAATTTTCTCTTATCAATTCAACAGAACATTTTATGACAAATATTGATTGCATGTTACCCCTAAAAGGTGGTTGATGCTAAACACATTTGGTAAAAACTAAATAAAAAAAATTATTGGTAGTGTTTTTCATTATGATACAAATTATAATTTTGCAGACGTTACTGAAGACTATAACATAAAAGACGTGACGAAAGATTTTCAAGTTTTCTACAGTTCTGGAACTACTTTGTTTGAAGTGGGACTTGATAAAGAAATTCGGAAACAAGCCAATATGAATGCACAATTAGTACTTTTTAAAAACGTCAACAAGACTCAACTATCTTCACTTCGATTACGACATAGAAGAAACGTACAAGATTTCTTGGAAGAACAGGATTTAGGTGTAATCACAACCGATTCGTTTTGTTCAGTAGAACCATGGATTGTAGATTTTAGTGAACTTGGTTGGCAAAGTTGGTTGTGGGCACCTTCTTCATATCATGCAAATTCGTGTTCCGGCAGCTGTAGCTTTCTCAACAGTAATAACACAATTTCCTTTCATGCTATTATCAAACAACATTATTATAGATATCCTTATTTTCAGGAGAGTTCAACTGAACATTTGGACTTGTCCACTTATTGCGTACCAGCTTCATACGAAGCACTGACAATCACTTATATAACAAAGCAAAAAATGATTTCTATGAGACAGATTCCAAAAATGAAAGTAACGTCGTGTATGTGCGCTTAAAACTTTTCTGTTGACAGTGATATTCCGGGAATGAACGAGCTTCACATTGGCTTTGAAACGGTTTGTTTATAATTGATGTCATTTTTTTTAGGACGAGAAGTTGTTAAGAATTAAGAACAGCGCTTTACTTGAAAATCAGATGTTAGAATCCAATATTAAATATAAATAGTTTCATTCGATATTTGATAATGAATAAAACAAATACAGAAATGTTTATATCGACATAGAAAATGGCAGAAAAATGATTAAACAGTCAGAGTAAAATATGATTAAACAGTCAGAGTTAAATATGATTAAACAGTCAGAGTTGAATATGATAAAACAGTCAGAGTTAAATATTTAAACATTTTAGAAAATATTATACTGATGTCTATTGACAGTGTAGATATAAACATTAAAAGAATATAAAAAGGTCGTCAGCGTGGTTTATTCGAATTGGGTGAGCTATTTAAAGATTTTTCAAAACATTGGTCTCACACTGTGGGAAACGACAACTTACAAAAACTGTGGAATCCAGTTGTCCATAGTTCAAGCCTCTATCGCCATGGAACTATTTTTTCAGTGTTGTTACCAATTTTAAAGTCGCAAAATATACATGTTAGTAAAAAAATAGTTCGGAATATACCGATGGAAACATATAATAAATCGAAGAGAGACACACAACACCATCTACATAAGAATCCACAAAACATTACACAGAAAACTAAATATTCAGCAACACAAATCGCTTTAAAAAATAGCGATACACTTAGTTACTCCGATAATAACAGTAGTTCTTACTCAATAATTGTCCATTCTGATGATGCTCGTACTAAAATCTTGCAAATTATGGTCGGTGCTTGTGCTTCAAACCACATAAGATTGGCAAAAGTTTCAGGTATAGCCCTAAGACACCATAATCAATCAGTAAATGTACATCATCTAACTTTAAAACACGAATAAATGGGAAAATATGACAAATGCTCTGGACAGAGAATACACATGACCGATAAAAACAACATAGATATTATAAAATGAAACATAACAAATATAACAAACAAACAAAAAACAATAAAAAGTAACACGAACTACACTTATAAAATCCAAAGGAACTTGGGTTCTCCGAAAGGTTAAGCAATGTTTGGTCAACTGGTGATAGCATTGATTATTAAAATAATAAGCAATACCATAAATGTACATATTTGGTTCAGATACCGGTATTAGACATTTTCAACAACTCTCGACACCGACTAATGACACCAGGGGCGTGTTTTTTTGTTCTTCGGTAGTGAGCCAGAAGAGGTCCATTTCTGTTTTTTTGCATAGGGAAGATCTTCTGGCTCTCTTCCACCTCTTCTTTTTTGATAGGTTGTTTAGACGGCAGAGGCACATAACAAACATGGCGTCGTTTAGTCTAAATGACATTGATAAATTTCTAAATGCAGATATATTAGAATGTGAGCTGTGTTATAAACGTTTTTATGGTATGACAGTCTTAGTAGGACATTCATGTAGGACGATAAGCTGGATAAATATAAGAACTACACGGACAATTAATAACAGTTAAGGGACGACTATTTGATATTCTAGGGAAGGGATTTTGATTGATTGGTGTTTATCGCTACTTTCAACACTAAGTTTGGCTATTCCGTGGTGGTCAATTTAAATTTATAGATGAAGAATGGGGAAGGGTAGAGGGCATTATTAACTTTTTTAATCTGTCGCTAATTATGCCTATTTTTCAGCTCTTACCAGGCAACCATATTCATATATGAAATCCTCCTGTCCCCCACCCCAATAAATGAATAAATATCAAATGGTTTTTCTTCTTATTTAACACAAGTTTAAATTGATTGATTGTTTGTTGCTATTTTTTAACGCCCAGTGACAAATATGTCATGCATGTTCAGGACTCGGTTCAGGAAAACACGAGTTTAAAAGTCAGGTATATAATATAAAAACGAAGAGATGTATGATTGCTAATGAGGCAACTATCCACCGGAGTTTAAATATGAAGTGGATGTAAGCAATTATAGGCAACCGTAATTAAGGCCTTCAACAATGACAAAACCCGATACTGTATTAAAAGTCGTCTATAAAAGGCCCGACGTGAAAAGTGTGAGAAACAATTCAAACGAAAAAACTAACGGCCTAATTATACATAACAAAATAATTTACAAAATATCAAATATGAGTCGAGACATGAACCAACGACAACCACTAAACTACAGGCTCCTGACTTGGGACAGGCACACAAAGAATATGGCAGGGTTGATATAAAAACGAAGATTGCCAATGAGACAACCCTCCACAAGAGACCAAATGACACAGCAATTAACAGCTATAGGTCACCGTACGGCCTTCAACAATTAGCAAAGCCCATACCGCATAGTCAACTATAAAAGGCCCCGAAATCACAAATGTAAAACAGTTCAAACGAGAAAACTAACGTACGGTCTAATTAATGTACAAAAAAATGAACGAAAAACAAATATGTAACACATGCAGCAACAAACGACAACCACTGAATTACAGGCTCCTGACTTGGGACAGGCACATACATACGGAATGTGTCGGGGTTAAACATGTTAGTGGGATCCGGCCCAACCCGCCCCCTAACCTGGGACAGTGGTGTAACAGTATCAGAACATGTTTGTGAGTGCTCAACCCTCCCCGAAGCTGGGACAGTGGTGTAACAACACAATATAAGAACAACCTGCACAAATCAATTGCAATTAGATTAACTCAAAAGATCGGTACGAGACACACACAAAAAAAGAACAACTTACATTAAGACAATAGACACAAAGCACCGAAATAAGAGTATTTGCAATTACTGGAAGTTTGTTCAAAGCTAATTATAACTAGTACTGAAATAAATCTTGTTCTCCCAGACTGAAGTATCAATCAGTACACAACCAAATGACCTTCGAAATTTTGCAATAAAAATAATAGTTAGGACCAGAAGATTTTCTTCAAGGACCACCAGAGAAAAATGATTTTGAGAACTTTCCGATATCTTTGCTTTATACAAAAATAATCCAGTTTGGGTACTTTAAAAAAATTGGATAGACAAGATGTCCTTTTTGATTATATTCGAGACAAACCGGCATTGACGAATTTTTGTGCAGGTTAAGATTATTCTTAAAAATCAAATACTGGGAGTTTAAGCCTGATTTGTCTAGCAAAATTGAGTTAGAGGAAAGAACAAAGAAAAATGTCACGAACAGAGCACACTTTTACAGTCATGTCTACCGGACGTATCTTAATTTTCTATAAAATCATCGTAAACTTCATTTATGTCATCCAACATAACAAAAATCTGCTATATTCGACGGCAAATTGAATTTTTGTTTTATTGATCTTCCGTAGAATATCTCCAGAAGAGGTTCAGATTCATTTTTTTGGACTCTTCACCAGAAGACATTCTGGAGATGTGCAGAAGAGACCAATAAAACACGCCCCTACAGTTTACAGGTAAAATGGAGGGGTCGTCTTAAAGACAAAAACCATCATGATTATCATTACGTATACATATTCGATTTGGCGGTTATATACTGTCTTGACTATATAACTACAGAAGATATCCCAAACAAAAAATGAAATAAATATATTCTAATTACATGTATTTACACGACATTTCACGTTGAATTGATTAAAAAAATTACTGCAATCATTCCGCATCCTGATCAGAATTCTCTTAAGTTTTATGATTATGTGAGTCTTCCATCAAAGATTGTGCCGCATGCCAATAACGATTGATTTGTTTCTGTAAAAGTTTTGGTGAAATTTTCGAAATTTATGAAACATTATTACTGGACTGTCCGTCCGTCCGTTACACACTTGTAAACACGGTCGAGTTGGTGTTTTTCAACCGATCTTCACCTTACCTGATGTACAAATTCAATTTCGGGAGGGGTAAAACATATAGATTCAAAGGTCGAAGGAAAAGATCACATCGCTATTTTTATCAACGAGTATATTTGCTACGTAGAGAGTGGGTTTCTGGGTCATCAGAATGATGACCAACAATTCACGTTAATGCAGCAAATAGGGAGAGATGGTCCGCTGTATTTCCCGGAAGACTGTATTTTCCTTGGAGACAAAATATATCCAAATCGTCACCCTTTAGTAACACCTTTTACAACACCTTAGATTAACCGTAAGCCAGAAAATTTGAAGAGAAACAGTAGAAAAAAATTTAATCGCGTCATCGGTGAATATAGAATTCAAGTTTAACACCAAAATTGGTGAATTAAAAAGATATAAAGTAATCAGTACATTATGGAGGCACCCAAGGCCAAATCTAACAGACATTGTAGAAACATGTGCCGCCCTTGTCAACAGACATAAAACATTGTTTAATTAAACATCAACTACAACAATACATGCATGTTTTGTTTTTTTCATTTTCCAAATTGCACCAAGACAGCTAGAAGCTCAACGTCTAAAAAGATGAAATGTGATTTAAAGCCCATCCATTTCTTAATACTAAATTAAAACATCGATGTCATTTGGACTCTGTTGGAACGTTGTATCATTGCCAATCAAATAAATTTCAAGCAATAAAATCAATAGTGATCAATACTATTATTTTCAATTTTTATTTTTGAGACGACCCCCTCACATCTTACCTGTCGTAATCGTTCTCAACTGTAGGTGTAGACAATTGTTGAAAAGGTCTACTAAAGGGTTGGTCATGCCTAGTGGAACTTCCAAAAGCTGATAAACTATTCGTTACGCGACTGTTCCAGGGCGAATTGTCTATAATCAGTATACGATTTCTTTTTCCCTATGGCAGTCCAAGTTCTCGATGCACATACTATGAATGAATAGAAATGTGGGGTGATGGGTATACCTCAATGAGACTGCAACCCAACAATAAAACATCAACACGGTTAGCATGGCAAAAAAACAAAAATGACGAAAATGCAAACAACATTCTACTAAACTCTAAAGACTGAGTAACACGTACCTCACCAAAACCGGGTGACTTCAGGTGCTCCTGAAGGGTAAGCATAACTTTCGGAGAAATGACTCCAACCTTACTATTTGGAACCCTCGGGTCAATATCTTGCCTGAAAGCAGCAAACATCTATCGTTGAAATCATGATACACAAACTCTGTCAACTAGGAGATGAATACTCCATATGCAGGCGCTGTTTGAACATAGAAACGGAAAGTTCACAATTGGAAAGTTGAAATAATCTCTTTTGTCGTTAAGTTTAGTTCTTACCCGAATCTCATTATCAATTTCTAGGTATGAAACAGACTTAACTGTATCAGTGGTATCCTTTATTTTATGTTCGATAGGGTAGATGA